AGCCCTTTGGTCCATAAACAAAAATCTGCCCGTGTGCACAGCTCAGTGAAGATGGTGGTGGGTAAACTAGATGCCCCTGCTGCTGCTCCTGTACCCATCTTAGTGATCATCTTTTAAAAATCAAAAACCATTTTGTATCAATAAATCTTTCCAGATCTTTCTAGTAGGTAATCTTTCTTATCTGTGATTTTTCAGCATCTTCCTATCCTATTACAAATATTAAAAATATTTTAAAAATTTATGATTCAAATATTAAGGCATTTGCCCAATTAAAGTCTTTCAATACTTCTACTATTCTCAGTAATTCAAAAGGACTGCAGATAAAGGTTCTGCAGCAACTTTTGTAAGTTCTTTTAGAACCTATTTTTGGCCTTAGGAGTTTGATATTCATTCCTTGCTTTCCAGTACATAATGTATAAATTGAAAGTGTCTTGTACCCCAAAGATAACCACTATTATCAGTTCATTTGTATAAACATTTATAGTTTTTAAACTATAAATGTAAATAAATAAATTTTTTATCAAGAAGGAGCCACACATCCTGTTCTGCCACTGGATTTTTTTTTTAAGATTTCCATTATTTATTTATTTGTTTATTTACTTATTTTTTAAAAACAAATTTTAACTCTTAGAGCAACTTGCATTCTCAGCAAAATTGAGCTGAAGGTACAGGAATTTCCAGTAAACCCCCTGCCCCAACACATGCACAGCCTGCCCTTTATCAGTTTCAACATCCCTCACCAAGATGCTCCACTTGTTTCAATTGACATTGACATAATATTGTCACCTAAAGCATAGTTTACATTTAAGTTCATTCTTGGTTTATTATAATCTGTGGGTTTGGACAAATTTATTATGAGATGTATCCACCATAATAGTATCAGAAAACATAATTTTACTTCCCTAAAAATTCTATAGAAGGTAGTCTTTTCAGATTGACTTGTTTAATTTAGCAATATACATATAAGTTTCCTACATATTTTTTCATGGTTTGATAGCTCATTTCTTTTTAGAGCTGAGTAGTATTCCTCTGTCAACTGTGTTTAGACTATTGATTTTGTGTGTGTGTGTGTGTGTGTGTGTGTGTGTGTGGTGCTGGAGATTGAGCCCAGGGCCTCCTGCATGCTTCCACAAGCTCTACCACCGAGCTACATCCTCAATACTATCTTTTGCATTTTTAATAGTAACAATCCTAATAGGTGATATTTCGTTGTGATTTTGATTTGCATTTTCTTAATAACTTGTGACTTTGAGCATTCTTGTGTATACCTATTGGCCATATTTATGTGTTTTTTTGGAGAAGTGTCTCTCAAGTCCTTTGTACATTTGTAATTGGATTGTTTTTTGCTGTTGAAATTCCTGTATAAATTTTAAGCTGTATAAGATGTATAAATTCCTTATATATTTTAGACATTAACCCCTTATCTGATATATAGTTTACAAATATTTTCTCCCATTTTGTAGGTTGTCCTCAATTTTATTAGTTTCCTTTGCTTTAGATAGTTGGTAAAATCAGTTCCGGGGTCCATACAGTTCACATATTGCTTATAAGTCCCTTGATCCTCTTTTAACCTATTTGTTCCATTCATTTTCTTTTCTTTTTAAAATTTTTTTTTAGTTGTAGATGGACATGATACATTTATTTTGTTTATTTTTATGTGATGCCGCGGATTGAACCCAGTGCCTCATGTATGCTAGGCAAATGCTCTATCACTGAGCCACAACCCCGGCCCCTGTTCCATTCGTTTTCTTCCTTTAGTTGATTTATTAAGAAATGGGGGGGGGGTCTGGGGATGTAGCTCAGTTGTAGAATGTTTGCTTAGTGTGCACAAGGCCCTGGGTATAATTTCTAGCACCACAAAAAAATAGAAAGTGGGGGGGAAAGTGGAATCATTTACATCATAGAATCCCATGGGGTCATTTAGGACATTCCTGTGGGAGTTAGATCTAGAGTTTGACCAGATTTAGTTTCTGTCTTTTAACTAGGATACTTCATTGGTGGTAGTATGTACTCCTTTTTCATTATATCACTTGGCTCATAATGTTTGGTTCTTACAGCAATATAAGTGACAGTATACATGATTAGGCCAAAGACAGTTTGCAGTGACTCATGCCACACTGTATACTTAAGAGTCACTCTTCTCCTTGATCCTTGATATTTTGTTATCACATCATATTTACAATGTCTGGTAATGACTTCCTTTCTATTTGGAACTATATAGATGTCATGACTACATCTGACCCCCTGTAGTCATATATATGGCTATATTTGACCACTACCTCATCCTAAGGCCTAAATCACTTAAACACTTTTACAGGCATAGAAAAATGTGAAGGTCGATCTTAAGATTATCTCCTTAGAAGAATTACGCCATAGGATTATATATGCTCATTGAAGAAAGTTTAAAACTGAAAATTATCTTATGGAATGTATCATCAGATATCTCACAAGAAAAATGGTCTCATATGAAAATAACAATGAAAGTTCCAATAAATTGTCACTATTCAGTTGACTGTGGTGGCACGTGCTGTAATTCCAGCAATTTGGGAGGGTGATGCAGGAGGATTAAAAGTTCAAGACTAGCTTTAGCAATTTATCCAGGCCCGAGGCAACTCAGTGATACCCTATCTCAAAATAAAAGATAAAAGGGACTGGGAATGTGGCTCAGCATTAAGAACCCCTAGATTCAACCTTGGTACTCCCCCGCCCCCCCAAAAAAAACTTCAAAATGTCACCATTCAGATGTTAATAATTCAGAAAATATACACTGGTACTAGTGGCAAAAATTTTTATCATTTATGAATTTAAGGTGATCAAAACAGGTGCTGGTTAACCTTAGACGTGGCAGTAAAGCATACATTAAAACATGAATGTACACATTAAAGTCTACATTACTCCCTTGCTGATTAATCTGTGTAGATGCAATCTATAGCAGTCCACAGAACAAAGTAATGAATTTACAGACATATTCACTCAACAGGAACCCAAAGTTGGATTTCCTATATTGGTTTTGGTATTATTCTCATCATTATCTCATCACATGAGATAAAACACCGAGAATTAATAAGTCTTGCCTCTCGATGTTCCCATTCCATTCTTCTAACATGGTTTTGAATATGAGCACCACACATTAAGGTAATCTTTTTTGTAATTGAGGTTTGTTGGGGTTGGCAAATCGTTATTCCTCTATTTCCTAGTTTTCTTAAAAATGATTTGAAGTCTGTCCTTCTAGACCACTTCTTAATAATTAGTTACACTTTGCCTATCTAGACTCTAGTATTTTCCAAACAGAAGTTATTGTATTTAATGTTTATTTTTCCATGCTAGGGGTGGAATCCAGGGCTTCACATGTACCAAGCAAGTATCCTACCATTGAGCCACACCCCCAGCCTGTGTTTAATATAGAAGAACCATGAAAAAAAGCACTGTGCTTGAATAAGTTCTTGAGTTAAAGGTTTCTTCCTGTTCTCTAATACCCTTGAGTTCTTTATAGGATTTCGGGGGTTGGGAAAGAGGGTTGTTCTGATGATAATATTACCAAAACTAGCATATTTTTGATAATTTAAATGAGACCTTATAGTAGATTGTCTTACATCAGGACAGCATAAATTGCTCTATATTTTTTCTTTTTTTTTAATTTGTTTTAATTAGTTATACATGACAGTACAATGATATTGACATATCATACATTTGAATCAGATGGGATATAATTTCTCATTTTTCTGAGTGTACAGGTTGCAGAATTACATTGGTCATGCAGTCACGTATATACCCAAAGCATCAAATTCTCTATATTACAGTGTTTCTAATTCATCTATGTTCTAGAAAAAGGAAAAAAAATGAATTTACTGCTGCAGGTTTTTCTCTCCATGTGTCACTAAGTGCCTTGTACTTGTATAGCAAAGAGAATATTTTTTGCATCCTACTAACAGTAGATTTTTTTGTAGTGAACATTTTTTTGTATTTTTATTTATGTCTCATAAAAATATAACAATGCTCAGTTGTATACCTTGAATCTTCAGTTAGAAGAGAATAATAAAGTTAATTCAGTGGCAAAATAAATAAATAGATAAATAAATAAGACCTTGTAAATGAATTCTACTACACAGATTCAGGACTATGTTTGCATTTGTGTTTATAACCAAAATGGTTTTGCATGATCCTCCAAATTATGGTATTGATACTTTGATATGTTGGTAGGCATGTCTGGCTGCTGTTAATTTACAATGCCCTGTATTAGAATAACATGTGTTTTACTGGAGAGAAGAAAGGAAAGGGAGTTGTTTAATGGGCAGGGAGTTTCAGTTTTGCATCGTGAAAACTTTTGGGGATTGGATAAATTACAGTATAATACATTTAACACTGCTGAACTATATACTTAGAAATGGTTAATATTTTATTTTATGTTATATATTTTTTACCACAAAATTGCCTAAATATTACTACACAAATAATATCCGGTAATTATGAAAAATAAAACCCAAAAAACACAGACAAGTAAAACAGAAAATAAAAAATCACCTGCAATCCAACCAGTGAAGGTGAAATTTTTGTTGCATAAACACATGATTACATATTTTTTCACACTGGGTGTGCTATTTTATAAACCGATTTAAAAAATAGTTTATTCTATTTTTAATCATGTTTTAGGTTCTGTGTTCTTCATAAAAAAATACAGAGGAGTACATATTTCACATGTCTATAAACTCTGAAAACTTCAAACAGAAGTAAAGCTGCACTTTTAGGGATGTATGTCCCTCTATTGATGCTGCCCCTTGTAGGCCATGTGTGTCCTCAGGAGAATGAAAATATATTGTACTCTTGATGTGCTGGCTGGCTCTGCTGGAATATTTCCATGGTTTCTTTTGTATATGGCCAGGATACAGAGGCTCTGGCAACTTTGAGAACTGGTGAGTCTATCTGTCACATGTCTATCTACTGGAATGAGGTAAGCATGCATCCAGGCAGGGTTAACTATTAAGTTGTTGGGATGAAAGGTCAGGATACCTGCCTTTATTTGGAAGATCTGGACATCAGAATGGGAAATAACACATTGCCGCTTCTCATCTGCCTTCTCTGAGGAAAACAAGAAACAAGAGTAGTCAGTGAGAAGTTTTCACTCCAGAAGTACTCCAGGGATCATGGTGGAAAACTTCTGCAACTCTACTTTTTGGGTGAGAAATCACATTTATCCTGTTTACTTTCTTAAACTTAGAACAAGTGATACATTATGTGAGAGTGGCCACCAAAAAGAACCAGAAAAGTCATAAGTGCAGTTGATCTAAAACTCAGATTTTTTAAAAGCCTGATATTCATAATATCTCTAGAAGATATATCATTTAGGAAAGGTAATATGATTTATTCTTTTTAACAAATGCTTATTGTGTCCCAGACTCGTTTTTTGTTTTTTGGACAAGTTAACTGCAGAGAAATAGAGAAAAAAATTCCAATTTCTTCAGCATTAGGAATGGGAATTGTTGTTTACTTTGTGGGGTAGAGGGTCCTCAATTGAGTCTTGTTGAGATATGTTAGTGATGAAATGATAATATGTTCTAGATGAAATGGCAACTAGTAGTATGGACTAGAAACTGAGACCAGGGATGCAAATTTGGGCAATATGAGAACTGTGATAACTTATGAACCATTAGAATTGGACAATCTTGTTTTTAGAGATGGGAAGAAAGAAACAGCACTGATGGAGAGGTCAGGTATTTAGAGAATGAACAAGCATAGTTTCCATCATGGAACCACAGAAAGCAGAGAGTTTCCAAACAGAGAATAATCAACAGTACCAAATGGCTTAGTATAACAGAAAATGAGAAAGGACCTTGGACCTAGTGATTTTGTCATCTGAAAATCCTGGAGTCAATTAGGGTGATTGACATAGTTTAAATATCTTAGAGGAATCTTCAGAATTCTGAAGGTGGATGACAACATTGCATAGAGATCATAGGAGCAGGAATGAGATAGTAAAGCACATGAGCAGCTCTTCATATGGTAGGAATAAGCTGGGCCCCAAAGCCCTCAAGGCCAGGACAGGATACCATTGGAAGGTGGGGCTTAATAGGCCCCACTATCTTGACAGGCCATCTCTTGAAAATTCTAAGAATTATCTGCCAAATCATCTTATCAAGGCACTACCAATAGTCATATGAAAAAAATTTTAAAAAATATTTACAGGAAGAGACTCAGATATAAGACCTGATGTTGCACCTCCACCCCACAAGATACTTTATTACAGAATGCAGAGACTAGTACAAAAGTTGCTGGCAAAGTGAGTTTCTGTCCAATAGTGCCATTGTCCTTCCTGTGCTGAAATTGGCCAGGAATGCTTAGTTTTGATATAAGCCTTCTGAGCTATTGTAAATCAAATGTCAGTATGACTAAGCATTCTGCCTATCTGATGTCTGCATGTTTGACCATTTGTTAGTGAGTTCAACTAGGGCTAGAAACTAAATAAGAAAACGCTTTTATACCCAGGGATCTATTCTCCCCTTTGGATGAAGGAATAGTCCCTCTTCTTCCTATAATTTGTCAAATGTTGTATTGAGTTTTACTCAGAATAGCTATTACAGAAATTCAAAAGAAAATAGGTTTTTAGAGTTTGGGTTGACTAGAAAACTCAGTAAATATCATTAAATGGTGAATTTGTATTAATCGGGATAAACAGGAAAATACAAGATAGTTAAAGGGTAAAGCTGAATATGAATATGGGGTTGAAATAAAATTGTTTGGAAGCAAGTGTTTGCGGAGAAGGGCTTGTCTTCAAAAGTGCATGTATCCAATAACCTTCCCTTTTGGTCCTCCCCAGAATTCCTCATTCCTGGAAAGTCCGGAGGCAGACCTGCCGCTATGTTTTGAACAAACTGTTCTGGTGTGGATTCCTTTGGGTTTCCTTTGGCTCCTGGCCCCATGGCAACTTCTCCATGTATATAAATCTAGGACCAAGAGATCTCCTATAACCAAATTCTACCTTGCTAAGCAGGTACAGTAACCCACTATTTTCAACTCTAAAAACAGAATAGAGACATCTTCTAAGGGTCCTCTTCCCTGGCATGCGTGCGGCTCAGGTTCGATCCTCAGCACCACATACAAAACAAAAACAAACAAACAACAAAAAAAAAACAAAGATGTTGTGTCCGCCGAAATCTAAAAAAAAAAAAAAAAATAATAATAATAATAATTCTCTCTCCCCCCCCCCGCCACCTCTTTAAAAAAAAAAGATTTTTCAGGTGCTGCTGTCTCAGGTACAGTCATCCTCTGGGTGTAACCTATGTCTCATTGGCCTCTTGTCATATTTCTTAGTCAAAGTAGCTTTGATTTTTGCATAAAATGAGTGATTCTTCATTCTTATGGGTATTAGGCTCCCTAAAAACAAATGACAAGTAGTGGGACAGTCAAATTGTTATTCTCCTTTTGGTACTTGAGAAGTGAACAATAGATCATCTGTCTTTAAGCTGTTCTAATAAATCAGGAGACTATAATTCAGTTTCACCTACCATGAGGTGAGAATGAACCACCGGCTATGACTTCTGTACCATACAGGCAATCCAACCATCACTCATTCACAAAACTTGGATTTGAAATAGATTTTCCATTTTCCCAGAGTATTCCATCAGTCAGGATGATCATTCACAGTGGAAAAAGGAAGGCTTAGTGTGCCTGGTAACAAGCCTGAGTAGGGAAATAATGCAAAGGACAGGAGCTATGCTAGAGAGTCCGGGACTAAGTCAGGAAGGGATCTTACAGAGCTAAGGCCTTCAACTAAAGTTGTGAAGTTACTTCATAAAATCTACCATCTGCTTCCTCTTGTTAGTTTTTTTTTTCTACCTGTATTAATCTTTAAACAGTTTTTTAGAAAGGGCAAATTAGATTCTGTTGTTCTATGAACATACGTAGACCTTCAGTAACTGGAAACTTGAAAGGAAGGTAGGATTCACATTAAAACCAGGGTGGGCTGGTAGTGGGTTTTGTCAGTCTCTGTCTATGAGAGCTTGGTGTAGGATCATTGTCTCCTTGTTGGCCCAAGTACAGAACCCAGAATATATTGAACATTCAGGTTGAATTCAAAACTTGTTGAAAGTTGATATTAAATGCACCTGGGAGCAGGAGCTGAGTCAGGACTGTGTTAAACTTTAGAGTTTAACATTCTGAACATTGAAAAACATGCCTCAGCACCCTTGGAAATAGAACTTGCGATTACAGTCAATCAATTGAGTGGTTTTCTATCATTTTTCTGGAGCTTTCAAGAAGAGGCTGGGTAATGAGCAAACCAGTACCTCGCCTTAATAAAATTTATTAGTTCATTTTTAAAGAATACATACCATGCAGTTCTCACATTTAAATAATTCAATTTTTTAAGTATGGTCACAGATATACACAAGTATCACCACAGTCAATTTTAGAACATTTTTAGTCCTTCAAAAAGAAATCCATTAGCCCTTATCTCCTCCTCCCACTTAGCCTTAAACAACCACTAATCTACTTTGTATCTCTAAAGATTTCCTCATTCTACATATTTCATATGAATGGTCTATTATAATTGACTTCTTTCACTCAACAGATGTCATCAAAGTTCACCCTTTTTACTGTAGCATGTATCAATACTTTATTTCTTTTATGGCTGAAAATTATTCCATTTTATATACCCCATTGTTTAAGCACAATTTCTACAGAGAAAATAAAAAGCAATGTCTTAACCTTTTTTTTTTCTAGTTATAATAACCCACCCTAACTCACAGTCTCAGGAAATCCATTTATAATTAATGTTTTAATTTTCATCCTCTACTCTGAGTGTGACAAGCATACATTAGTTTATTCTTAAAATGTTCAAATGATTGATTTTGCCTCTGAAATAATTTGAAGTGTAGTTCCTCATAAAGTAAATTCTTCTACGAGAACTTTCTCCTAGGCTCAGTCTTCAACTTGGGTTCCGCCCACCTTTTTTTTTGTTCTTCTCAGCTTCCTCTCCTACCTGCCTTTTTTTTTTTCTCTCTGACTCTCCTGAATTGATATTGAAGTTGTTTGGTCATTAGTGTGTTGTTTATCTCAACTAGAATTAGTCATCTTGCTTGACCTACCTGTAAGTGACTCTCCCAATTGGTTTGCTTAAAGGTACATCCTAAGTATACGACCCAGAACACAAAAGGTAATTGAATGTAAAAATGAATAATGGCAGCTGTGGAAGTTCTGAGGTCAAGAGCAAGATGTGCAGCAAAAAATGGACTTGATGTTGAGCCAGTGAGATCTGAGAATCATCTTCAAGTATTTGCAAAAGCATTACATAGAAGATTGTCTAACTTGTTCTGAAAAGTTTCAGAAAGCAGGACCAAGATAAATGAGAGGGGTTTGTTCTAGGGAAGTAGATTTTGACTAAATATCCTAAAGCTTTTCCTTGTCTTTTCTTTTTTGGTACTAGGGACTGAACCCAGAGATGCTTAACCACATTCCCAGCTCTTTTTTGGGAGGTGGGGAGAATACTGAGGATTGAATTCAGGGGCACTTACCACTGAGCCACATTCTCAGCCCTATTTTGTATTTTATTTAGAGACAGGGTCTCACTGAGTTGCTTAGTGCCTTTGCTTTTGCAGAGGCTGATTTTGAACTTTCCATCCTCCTGCCTCAGCTTCCCAAACTGCTGGGATTATAAGCATGTAACACTGCGCCCGGCTCCCAAAACTTTTTCTAATAAAAATAATTGATAATAGAATGGGCAGCTGAGGGATATAGTCCCTGAAAATATTGAAGCTGAAGTTACATATTGTCTGCTAGGGAAGTGGTGAAAGTAGATACTCTCTGTAATGAGTAGAAGATTCAACCAGAGTGATTTTTCATTCATAAAACACTGGGAGAAGGACTACCTTGCAGAGATGGAGAGATATCAAATATGGTAAACAATACTCCCTTCTTTTTAGATACCAATAGAATTGTATCTCCTTAGAAAATTGAGTTTAGATATCAGGCATGGTAGCACACACCTGTAATCCCATGTACTTGGGAGCCTGAGTCAGGAGGATCAAAATTTTGAGGCTAGCATGGGCAACTTAGTTTGTCCCTGTCTCAAAAATAAAAAGGGTTGGGCATGTAGCTCAGTGGTAGAGCACTTGCCTAGTGTGGGTGAGGCCTTGGGTTCAGTCCACAGTGCTGAAAGGAAAAAAACAAAAAGTTGAGTTTAGTAAACTCTTTAGTTGAAGCTCCTCTAATAAATCAGAGATCAAGGGCAAAGAGTAGAAAGAACTTGGTAAATCATTAAACAACCATAATATTTCTTGTTCCTAATCAATACAATTGTGCATATGTTTCTGATAATGAAAATAATGGGTGGTTGTTATAGAAAATTTGGAAATAGGAAGAAAATTAAATCCATTGATAATTGTATCACTCTGCTATACTCCTACTAAGGTGTGAAGGTATGTTTCCTTTCATTCTCTTTAACAAACAAACAAAACAACACTAGCAAAAGTCTCTTCCTTACCCCCATCCCTGACTTCCCAGTCTCATTCTCTAGAGGCCATTTTAGTTATTTTTAGTGATTACCTCTATATCTGCAAATTATGTGTTTATTCCTATATTTTTGATCTCCCAAGTTAAAAAAAAAAAGATCTATTTCTGCCGTCTCTGAAAGGTAAGGACGAGAAATTTGGCTTCCCTTTCCTCTTTTTTTTTTTCTTTTCAACCTTTTTATTTTGATTTTTTTTTCAGTTCTTCTGTTTGTTATCTTTATACATAAAAATACTGTTATTAGTTTTAAATTCTACATCTCAGTGCCTCTTTGTCTAACATAAGAGAATTAGTGTCCTCAAATTTCTTGGATCCCAGGCTGGGATCATGGCTCAGTGGTAGAGTGTTCGCCTAGCATGCACGAGGCACTGGGTTCGATCCTCAGCACCACATAAATGTAAAATGATGATATTGTGTCCACCTAAAACTAAAAAATACATGTTTTTTTAAAAAAAATTTCTTGGATCCCTTTTATAGGAGAATATTTTCAAATAAAATTTTCAGAAAGAGTGACAGTAAATTAAGTCACTAAGTCCTTACTTTCTAGGTGCTAGTATTATTTTTTTTTTGTTTTCACTAAGAGCATATTGCTACAATGTTCCCCAACATCCTCTGTTACTGAGTTAGAATTCTCATTCCTGTTATCCTTGCTAGAAGCTTTTATGCACTTTATTCTTCATGTCTTAAAATTTCATGAGCATCTGTCTTCATGTATGTTTGTTTGTTTGTTTTTTCCATTCAGTAAACCTGAAACCTGAAGACCTGTCTTTTCCTTCCCTTCTTTTCTTTTTCTTTTTTCCTGGGGGATATTGCCCAGTCTGGTCTTGAATCACAATACTCCTGTCATAGCCTCCTGAATTATGGGGGAAATGAGGGCAGAGCCACCTTGCCTGGCTCATGTCTTATCTCTGAGAAATGTTCATATTTTACTCCTTTCATTTCTTCTCCTTTTGAAATTCTGTTTCTCTAGAACTTCTTTTAGCTAGATGTTGAGTTCTCTGAATTGATCTTCCTTCTCAATTGTACCCCCAACTATTTTTCCTTTTCCCCTTCAGATTTCCTCAATATTTTCTTCCAGTTATCCTAAAGAACATTTTTTATAGCAATTATGAATAAACAAGAATTGTTAACTACACTGGTGCAGTGGCACATGCCTGTAATCCTAGAGACTTGGGAGGCTGACATGGGATCACAAGTTCAAGGTCAGCCTCAGCAATTTAGGGAGACCCTAAACAATTTACCAAGATCCTATCACAAAATTAAAAATAAAAAGGGCGGGCAATGTAGCTCAGTGGCAAAGCACCCTTTGATTTAATCCCCAGTGCCAAAAAATATTAACTTCTGAATATACCTTTAAAAAAAAAAGACACCTCTTTCTGGATGCAGTGTCTTCTCAAATTGTAGGAGGAAAAAAAATAAAATCTCTCTTAGAATATTAATTTAAAATATATTAAATTCTTTTCTGTTCACTTATCATGTTTGTTTTATCCCAGAATTGATTGTTCTATTTAATCATTTTGGCTGTCTTTGCTAGTACTGGATTTTTCTAAACTTCCTAGGAATTTAGTTCTGTATGTGTTTTAACAAAAAAGGCCAAGTTATTTAACACAGATGTTCAGAGTGAGTCCCTCTGTCATTATCCAAGTTGGGGGTACCCTGCTTACCCTTCTCCATTTATATTCTCGTTACTATTATGAATTTATTTCCTGGGTACTATTTCACTATCATTTTAATTAGATGAGAAGGGTTGAGAGATAAATAAATGTACTAAATGAGTCATTTTGAGCTGGTAGCTTTCCCCAAATTAGTGATCTGAGAGAGAACAAGGAGAAAGAAGCCCACTGCTTTTTATGGTCTGAGTCTTAAAAGTCATACTTCCACCATTTGCTATCATTAGAAATAGTCACTGAGTCCAGCCCACTCTAAAGGGAAGGGGAACTGAGCTCTACATTGTGAAGGGAGGAGTATGAAAAATTTGTGGACATATTTTAAAGTCATCACCCTCAGAATTACTCAGAAACGTTCATCATGGCAAGCTTTGAACTTTATTTCATTACTTAAACTATATGAATTCATTTACTTCAGAAATATATATTGTGTTATCTATACCACTATAAATATGTACCACTACATACCATTTTTTTTTCTCTATCCATTACTAGAAATCCTTCGGTATTAAGAGTCTTACAAAGAATGTCATGCTCTTATGTTAAGCAAAATAAGCCAGACTCAGAAAATTAAGGTTCTTATGTTTTCTCTCATATGTGGAAGTTAGAGAGAAAAATTGGGGGAAAGGCAGGGGGATGTCTCATAAAAAATAGAAGGGAAACCAGTAGAATAGAGGAAGGGGTTGGTGAAGGGAGGAGGAGTGTGAAAGAAGAGGCACTGAGGAATGAAATCTGCAGAATTATGTAATATACATGTATGAATATGTAAGAGTGAATCCTGTTATTAGGTATTGCACCAATAAAAAAAAGAAGAAGAAATTTAAAAAGAAGAAGAAGAACTTGCTCCTAACAATGATTTTTTCCCTTCTCAGGTGCTTGTTGGGTTTCTTTTTATTTTAGCAGCCATAGAGTTGGCCCTTGTACTCACAGAAGACTCTGGAGAAGCTACAATCCCTCCTGTTAGATATACCAATCCAATCCTCTACCTGTGCACATGGGTAAGACCCATCGCCACTTCCACCCTGTTTAATCTTCTCTCTACCCATAAACATCTAGCTGAAGTATATTCTTTGGGGATGAAATTAAGACCAATTTTATCTATCTTTTTCAAGGCTCTATAGTGAAGCCCAGATTCGTTGTAATAGGGTAAAACAAACTTTAACTTTTCCTCTTCTTTTGAACACTAATTTATAGAGCTTTCTTCAACCTTATGCCTTCTTGCTATCTAAGTGTCACAGATGATGTCTAAGTTTCTTGATGTGAAAGAATTTTTAAATGTTGTAAATGTTATTTTAAATTGGTGACTAATCACTAAGTCTAGAGCTATTGTGTAAATTTGATATCAGAAACATATCTGTCCTGCAGGTAAGTCTTTAGGGGGTCTGTACACTGTTTAAAAATAATTGAATTAGTTGCTTTCATTTTAAAAGAGGAGGATGACACATCATTATTTGTATTTGCAAGCTTTCTTGAAAAATCAAAATGTCTGATTAACCATGGACCTGCATTCCCACAGAGCAGCAGTCCGCTGAGACTGAGAAGCATTTGCCTCCTTTAGACTGTGCTTGGCACAGCTTCCTGCTTCTCTTGCCTGGCCTTTACTCAGAAATATGATCTTCCAGGCCTCTCCAAGCATTTTTATTGGCTATCACTGTTACAGAACAAGCAAAGAAGGATCTAGACACTAGTGTACTGAAGCTCACACAAACTGAGCTGATTGTGTGTATCTCTTTTTAAACCTGCATTTAGTGATATTATGTTGGAATTTGGAATCTACCATAGTGAGAGTATTTACACCATGAAAATTGGCAAATACTACAAATCCTGGCACTTTTTTCCTCAAAAATTCTGATTTACTAACAAATAGCACCAGGTCTATGGTACCAATATATCTAAGTCAAATGATGATACCAGGCAAGGATTTAGGTTTTAAAAAATGTCAAGATCATTGTATTGTCATGAGCAACTAATAAAAAAAACTACTTGTTCAATCCAATATCAGAAAATCAAGACACAGACAACTTGTACCTATTTATCAGAATTTGCCTGCTTGACTTGACTGCTACCTGATATTCATTTTTTTTTCTCTTTAAAAGGTTACTAAACCTCCACTAAAATGCAGATAGTGACCTTCTGCTTTTCTGGCTTACTTCCCACCCAAGTGTGGTGAATAGAGATTAGGCTCTAGAAAGGAATTGGTATTAGGGAGGAAACAATTTGGCATTTGTGTGCTGTCTGCCTGGCCAGACTAGGTTCACCAATCCCCCTTTTCCCCATGTTTTCTGACATCCTTCTCCCTTCCTGCCCTTGGTTAATGACATTATTCTTCACAACGTTATGTGACTCTCTCTAGCTCCTGGTTTTGCTGATCCAAGACAGCAGGCAATGGTGTATACAGAAGAACTCTTGGTTCCTGTCCCTATTCTGGATTCTCTCAATACTCTGTGGCACTTTCCAATTTCAGACTCTGATTCGGGCACTCTTGCAGGTAAGGGGAAAAGAGAGGGTGACATGAAGAGGTACTGCTGGGTGACTTCTAAGTCAGAGTAAGTGACATCAAGAAGTTTGACTCCAAGACAGAATTGTATTATGGAGATATGATAATAGGCTTTAACTATAGCTTTGATATTTTATGGGCTAGTTAGTCTTAATGTGTAGAAAAGGCTCATTTTCTTTTTTCTTTTCTTTTCTTTTTTTTTCTTTTTAACCCCACAGGACAGCAATTCCAATCTGGCCTATTCCTGCCTGTTCTTCATCTCATATGGATTCCAGATCTTGATCCTGATCCTTTATGCATTTTCAGAAAAAAGTGACTCATCAAATGTGAGACTCTAAATATTCCCATTTCATATATTCTTTAATTGGAGGATATCTTAACAAATAACACTTTAAGATACCTAGGTATCATAGAGATTCCATGAGCCCAGAATAAGATACTGGTTGAGCATCCCTAGTCTGAAAATCTGAAATCAATAAATGTTCCCAATCTGAAAAATTCAGAAAGTCTGTGCATTATTGTACAACCTGAAAAACTTCAAAATCAGAAATATTCCTGATCCCAAGCATTTTGGATAAGGGATGCTCAACTTATAATATAGAATATTTTATACCTAAGGAAATAGGGATGAACATATTGAAATACTGACTTTTATATTCACCCATCAATCTTTAACATAGGCAATTAATTTATACATCTATGACAGAAAATCTGATTACCATTCCATTAGTAGTTATCTTAGGATCTCCAAATTAGCATATTGACCAACTGACTTTAGCATTATATCTAGTTTCTCGCATATCATACCTAGAAAAATCAACTTCTGATTGTGGAGTCCCATAAGTTCCTTTTTCCAATTGATTTACTTTTAAATTTTTTGTATCTTTCAGAATCCATCATCCACGGCTTCATTTCTGAGTAGCATTACCTTTAGTTGGTATGACAGGTAGGAAATGCCTGGAGTATGGGTTTTCTATGTTTCTACCCCTTCACTTTTCTGAAAGTGAAGGAAAGCTTAATTTAGAAAATCAAAAACGAAACAAAACATAACAAAAAAAATAAACAAAAACTCCTCCTGTGGCCTCCATTTATTTTCTACTTAGAGTCATAGGGTGTTAAAATTTATAAGTCATATGGCTGGGGATGTAGCTCAGTGTTAGAGCACTTGCCTGGCCTGCATGAGGCCCTAGGTTCCATCCCCAGCAACAACAATAACAAAAAAAAGTAAGATTTACAGGTCAGTTTGATTCAGCCCCATTTATTAGGCAGATTAGCATGCCGAAGAGAGAGTGGGAGGGAATGCTCTTGGTAGCCTGGGAGTTCCACAGGAAAAGAGAAAAAAGCAGGTCAGGAAAGGGGAAATTTGGAGGCAAGCAGCATGGCACAGGTTTGGAGGGTAAGGGATGAAATAGCTGGCCTGGCTGTCAGAGGATCTGGAACAAGTATCCCTGGCCTTTGTGGTTCCATGGACCCTTTTGGCAGACTGGTGGAGCCCATGAATCCCTTCTCAGATAATGTTTTAAATGCATAAGGTAAAAGACACAGGAATACAAAAGAAATAAACTACATGGAAGTATAGTTATCAAAATATTTTAAAAGCAAATTTGTGACATTTTAATACATGTGCTTTTAAATCAATACATTAAATAACAAGATCTAGTGGTGGGTCTAATAATGACCTTAATGTTAAAGTAGTGATGAATATAAATTAGTCATGAAAACATTTTTGATGTCTCCTAGTGACAAAGCACCATGTTATACTCTTATTAGAAGGAAAAGCTGGATTTCAGTTAGAAGCTATTACAAAGAAAGATGTAATTTATTTTCTACCATGTTCTCAAAACCCAGTTTGGGGAGCCCTGAGCTAGAGAGATAGTATAGAGGCAGCCATGAGGCCCACTCTACTTTCTAAGGGCATTATGGAATCCCCTGAAGGAGATGCCAGAGTGCAGAGACACAGCCAGTATTAGAGGAGGAAGGGGTCAGAAGCAGAGGAAGGTGATGGATTTGGGATCTTAACAAAGTAGGGCCAATTCTTTTCCTCTTGTCTTGCTGTCTTTGAACACAGTCTATTATCCCTGCACATTCTCTTTTCTGTTCTCCCTACTCCTGTGTCAACTTCAAATATCCAAGAGATGGGGATAGTGGAGCAGTGGAGAAGTCCCATTCTTTACCCCTATATCCCAGATCTGGCAAGCAGGTTTCAATAGAAGCAGCAGAGAGGCCACCTGTGATGCAGCCTATGGGGTCTCAGCCTTTGGGTCACTCTTGTTCCAGCATAGTTCTGAAAGGTTACAAGCAACCTTTGACACTTGAAGATGTCTGGGATATTGATGAAGGACTTAAAGTCAAGACAATAGTGAGCAGATTTGAAATATTCATGGCAAAAGAGCTGCAGAAAGCCAGGCGGGCCTTCCAGAAACGACAGCAGAAGAAATCCCAGCGGAACTCTGGAGCCACATTGCATGACTTGAACAAGAACCAGAGTCAAAGCCAAGATGTCCTTGTCCTGGTAACTTTCCCAAAAGTGTCTGAGTGAGTGTACTGTATGTTTCAGGCAAGAAGCGGTGTCATGGTGGTTATTGTCCTATGTTTTTCAGTACTTTGTACTTTTAAGTGTATTTTATATTATTGGTAGTATTCACAATACCAGTAACAATAGATACATGGAGGTATAATGTACTATTCTCTCTCCTTTTGAGTATGTGTAAAAAGGTCCACTAATTTTTTCCCCTAAATAATATCTTAGCCTTACAATATTTGTATCTTGATAGGAGTTATCATTAGCAGCTAATAAGAAGCCAGAATTGGGGACATGAGACCAAAACACTGGAAAAAGAGGGTGTTAAATGAGTCATTATTGCCCCGGGTATTAGTTTTGTTGGGCTGCCATAACAAAGTACCCCAAAGTGAAGGCATTAAACAGTATAGGTTGATGGTGTAGCTCAGGGGTAGAGCACCTGCTTAGCATGCTGGATGCCCTGCACACAGAGAGACAAGTTTATTATCTCACAGATTAGGAGGCCAAAAGTGTGACATCAAGATATCAGCAGAATCATTCTCCCTCTGAAACCTGTAACAGAGAGCCCTTCTTGCCTCTCCCTTCTTCTGGTTTTTGCCAGAAATCCTGGGCATTCCATGGCCTGTAGATGCATCATTCTATTCCCCACCTCTGGTATCACATGGCCACATTCTCCCTGTGTCTGTCTCTTCTCTTCTTATGAGGACACCAGTCATATTGGATTACAGCTCACCCTAATGACCTCATGTTAACTTGATTACACCAGCAAAGATCCCATTTCCAAATAAGAGCACGTTCTAAGTTGCTAAAGGTTAGGATTTCAACATATCTTTTGTTGGGGTGAGGGGGATACAATTCAATCCATAACATCTTCCAAAAACCATAAGCAAGGGGAAAAAAAACACCTAAGAATTCGAAAATGATATTATCATATCCATGTCCTTCCCTCTCAGGATTGCCCCTTAGGCCCTCTGTTTTTTGTTTTACAGTTGCCTGCTTTCCTAAACCAAAATAGATTACAATATCAGTTAGAAATGGGAGAGAGGAACAGGAGGGGGCCAGCTGGGTGATGAAGAGTAAGTTAAGAGCTATACAAAGAAGGGAACAGGGCTCACAGGCACTGCTAGAAATCTGGAGCTGTTCAGGGCAGGAACAAGATCTTGTACTGCACAACTCTGTGGACTCTGATATTTGGTTCTGTATCCAGGAAGAAACTAAAAAGAAAAAAAAGAAGTCTGGGCCCACAGAAGACTTTCCCAAGTCCTGGCTAATTATAACTCTCTTCAAGACTTTCTGGATCATGCTCCTGAAATCATTCTTCCTGAAGCTAATACATGATATCTTCATATTTCTAAATCCTCAGCTGCTGAAGTGAGTCCCCAGGCCTTGGGTTATACTTTCAGGGTTACCTCTGCCACCCTCCCTTTTGCCTTTTGTGTAGGCAGGCAAGAGCTTTAATAATACTATTTATTTATTTATTTATTTATTTATGGCAGAATTGGGAGTGGACCCAGGGGCACTTTACTCCTGAGCTTTTTATTTTTTATTTTGAGGCAGGATCTTGCTAGTTGCCCAGGGTGGTCTGGAACTTGTGATCTTCCTGCCTCAGCTTCCTGTGTCACTAGGATAACAGGCCTGTACTGCTATGCCTGGTTAAATTCTCATTTTAAAAAATGCTCATAATTTTTTTCTCCTAACAGCTTTGAGTTCTTGTAGAGCACAAAGAATTTTTCAAGATTTAAGCTGATATATACATGTGTCTCTCTTTCTCATATACTCCACTACCACTTCATAGGAGGTCAGACACAGGTTAGGCCTCTTTGTTGTTCAACGGAACTGCTATGATCTGAGCCATGCCCAGAGGTGGACAGCACACCCAGGGGAGCAACTAACTTCATTTCTGCCCACAGCCACAGCCTTTCCTAAGAGTTTCAGACTAATAAGATAAACTTTGCTGTCTGGCATGATCTGGAATGGACCACCATAAGGGAAGCCCTTTTAACTCATTCTGGATATTGTCCTAATTTTTAGGGTTTCATTGTCTAGAAATGATTAACTTGTCCCACAAGCTAACTTTTACCCAGGAGTGGGATAAGACAGGGCCAAAGCACTGGAGTGTCATTTACCTGGAGCATTTCAATAATTATCCATTCTCACAGCCATAGGTTATCAATCTTAAGCTCTTGCTAGCCATCTCCAGATAAAAGCAAGAACATTGGCAAGACTGTTCTTGGGTCTTCCAAAGGCATTGGATGATTCTGATCATTTTTGTTACCCAGGATATAAGAGTAGGGCAATTGGCTGTACATGAGGAGAGCGAGGAGCCTTTGGAGACCTAACTAATGGGCATCATTTCCTTGGTTTTGCTCTGGCAGATTGCTGATTTCCTTTGTAAGTGACCATAACATGTATGCATGGACCGGATATGTCTATGCCATCCTCTTGTTTGCTGTGACTCTCATCCAGTCTCTCTGCCTTCAGTCTTATTTTCAATTGTGCTTCATAATGGGGATGAGTGTACGGACAACAGTCATAGCTTCTGTGTATAAGAAGGTAAGCAGACTATGTCATGTATCATAAAAGACAATTCCCTTAGCCAACATGAGCATTTATTCCAAGATTAAGGAAACTTGATGGAGATGATAACTAATATCAATACTTGATTTTGATTAGCCATACAGACTCCTTTAAATGTTTCTTTGGAAATTGAATATGAAAAGTGTGTTTCTAGACATAGGGAGGTCAGCTTAGGAAGCTAGCAAGCTGCCTAGGATCTGCCTTTCAGCCTACAGGACTTAGATACTTGTGCCTCTCTTTCTGCATCTCTCTTGACAATGCTAAAATGCCTTGACAGAAAATGTAAAGGTGGGAAAGAAGCTGGTCATGATTCCTCTTGAACCTTGGTAGCCTAATATTTTAGAAATCTCTCTCTTTTTACTATACAATCAAGAATTCCAGCATGTTTGAAAGAATGTATTGTTGGATTAAGATGGCAGTAGAATTTTCTAGGAGTAGGATGGAGGTGGGCATCTAGGGTCAGTCACAGCCCATATGCTGTTTCTGTGAGAATTAGAAGGTGGTTCATTCTCATGAGAAGATGCAGGCCACACCAGATGGTGCCTTTGTGAACATAGTATAAGCTAGTTTCAGTGCTCTGGTGTATTTGTGTAAAGCATCGTTGAGACAGACCTGTGGGTATTAGCCTTCTGAATTCTCTAACATGAGAGCAGGAAGCCCACATTATAAGATTCAGGCCTCTGAGTATTACCTATAAATTCCTAACAATTGTCAAGTCATTTTACTTCAGATATGTAAACTCTGCAGCTTTCCTCTCCATTCTAAAATCTCTGTCCTTCTTGGGAATGCTTGCAAACCTCAATATGAGAGTATAGCTGCAAATAACTTTGCTACTTCAAAAGTCTCCAAGGCTAGAATCAACACATGCTGATTTCCTCCCTCCATCCCATCCTTTCTTTCCTCCCATTCTTTAGTGTTTGATTCCCTACCGAGTGCACATAATATAGTAGTGAAATGGACAGATGTAGTCCTTGTCCTCTAGTACAGAAATAGAAAAACAAATTGATTATAGTTCATTGTAATGAAGGTAATGAAAAAGGTAAGCACAGAATTTTTAGGAGTACACAGAAGAGGTATCTATCCTAAATTTTGGAGTCAGGGTAGTCTTCTTAGAAGTTGTATCTAAATTGACACCGAAGGATTAATAGGAGTGTTCTGGTCTAAGAAGTGTGTGGATAAGTGGGGTTGGGGAAAGGTGGAAATAAGAGGCAAGCATAGTCAAGAATGAGAGAATAGCATGTGTAAGATTTGGAGGCAAGGAGTCACTGTCCCTTGAAGAAGTTGTGTCCACATCCTTCCATTGTATTCTCATTTCCTGTGTTTCTACTTCTCCTCCCCAATATTCTGGGCCTTGCTCATGAATCCCAATTTTGATCTAAATTTATCTTTAGGCACTGACCTTATCCAACTTGGCCAGAAAGAAGTACCCCATTGGTGAAACAGTGAACCTGATGTCTGTGGATGCCCAGAAGCTCATGGATGTGTTCAACTACCTGCACTTGCTGTGGTCAACTGTTCTACAGATTGTCTTATCCATCTTCTTCTTATGGAGTGAATTGGGACCCTCAGTCTTAGCAGGTGTTGGGGTGATGGTTCTCCTCATCCCACTTAATGGATTTTTGGCCACCAAGAATAGGAGTATTCAGGTGAATAAACAGTCATCCCTGTGATGCTTTCTTTAAGTGTAAACATTTTTAGTTGCTCTAATTCTTTAAGGAGTTAGGACAAAGCAAAGCTAGTTCAAGACTTTCCATCATCCTGAATATACTTGGCTTTCTCTGTTTTCTCTTTTCATCTTCTGACCACTCTTAGGGTTTATATGGTTTTCGTTCATATTAGAGGGAAGAGCTTGACTCAAGAGGGAAAGGTGCCCTGGAGAACTGGCACATAACTCTTTTACCCTGCTCTGCTGGGCTATCCTCAGAACAGGGATTTCTGACTCTGTTTATCTATCATAGTGATAAAACCAACCACTTAGAGTAGTCACATGAGTGATCCCAACTCTTAAGTCCTGGCAATGACCCTGCTTCAACCAGGCAGGTGGGAGGGCTCCACATGGACAGTCCTTAGTTCTTCCAGGAATCACAGGCTTGGTGGGTTGACTTGATGGTGTTCATGACTTATTCCTTCATATGTTTTGCATTTATTTCATTACAAATAATAGTTTTAAAAATATTTGTTGCACATCTTCTTTTCTGAGAACACAGCAGCAAATAAGACAAGGTTCCTGCTCTTTTGAATCTTACATTCTGCTTGGGGGTGGGGAGACAGGCAGTACAAGAAGAAGAAAAATATCAGATCATGATAAGTACTATACAGAGAACTAAGAGTGAAATATAGGGAGTGAGCGGATAATTGTTTTCAATTAGGAGGTCAAGAGAGCTGGTCCTCTGTGAGAAGGGGACGTTTAAACCAGTCACAAGTCTGACCATGAAAGGCAAGCCTTGGTTAGGGGAAGGGAGGAATGACCTAATAAGACACTAGTCAAATGGAGATGGTGAGGCAGAAACAAGATGGGCTTGTTTCAGGATCAGAAGGAAAGTAGGGACAGATGGACTAGAGTGGGCAGAGGGGAGAGTGGAGAGAGATGAATGCCATCACCTCAAGCTCCAAATGACAGTCTTGAGTATCACGAGGACTAGTGCCTGCTGCAAACCTGGGCCCTTTCTCATGGAAGCATATTTTGTTTATTTTGCCTTTTCCTGGCAGTTCCAAAATATGAAAAATAAAGACAGACGTTTGAAAATCATGAATGAGATTCTCAGCGGAATCAAGGTAAGAAGCCTGATGTTGGTAGCCCTCTGGTTGCAATGGCAGAAGCAGTGAATTTCTTGGCCCTTAATAAATTCTAGTAGGGATTGTGGGTTCCTGCTCCGTGGCCTTTACTGTATGTCTCATGATTCCTGATTTTTCTACCCCTAAGTGTTCTGTTTCATCTCCTATCATCCCTTCCAGGCCCTCTTTTAAACCTTGATATATTTTTTATTTACATTTATTTTGGTTTGTTTTTACATTTTACTGCAAAAAAATTTTAAACATACACAAAAATAGAATGATATAATGAAGCTGAATGGACCTAGCCCCAGCCATGGTCAGCCTGATCTAACTAGTTTCATCTGTATGCCCACACCCCGCCTGTCACACCTGAGAGATTTTTTTAAAGCAAACCTCAGATGTCTTGTCATTTCATTAGTAAGTACTTTTTGTGTGTTACTAAAGGATGTCCTTATTGTTTTTTTAACAGAACCATAATACCATATTACACCTAAAAAATAAAAATAGCAATCATTCTTCTATACCATTTTCCCAATTGCCTCATACTCATCTTCTTTTTTAACTGTTTGTTAATTTGAATAAAGATCTAAAAAATGTCTACATATGGCATTTTGTTGATAGTGACCTTAATTTGCAACACTCCTCTGTCATCTTGAAGGAACCAAGTTGCCTTGTTTCCTGTATTTCTTATAAATTGGTAGTAGATTTACTTAGATTTGGATTTGATTTTCTTTGGGTGAAAGGTTACTTTCAAGTGGTTCTGTGTGCTTCACAATAGCAGCAAGGGTGGCCACTCATCGAGCTCAGGCATTATCAGCATGGTTTATTCTTTCACCTGGGATAGCACTTTGAGACTCTGGTAGCACATTAGTATCACCTGTGAAGTTTGAGACTCACTTCAGTTCACTTAAATTGAACTCTCTGGGGTCGAGGCCTAAGCACCTATGTTTTTGAAAAGCTTCCTGGAGCATTCTAATATGCAACCAGGTGAAAAACAAATATGGTTGTACAAATTTTATGATGGTTTCTTAGACCTATTTTTTCATTAGGAGTTGCAAAATAGTGAAAATTTTGTGAGTGATATTTTAATTTTGTTATTCCTTTGTGAATTGATTACTTGAATTTCTATAAAGAATTGTCTTTTATCAACTAGCTGGTTCCTTAAAATAAAGTTTGTACAGGATAGGCAAGATAAATTCTTGTTTCCCAGATTTCAAAATAATGCATTTTGTTCTTTAAAGGTGGCCAGTAAGTTTTTTTTTTTAAGTGTTTTGAATTCATGGATTTTAATATTACCCCAAATTTTAAAAAAAATGAAAAAGAGGCTTTTTTTTTCCAAACTCCCTGATATTTTTCCATTCAGAGCTCTGATCTGTCTCTCTACTAATGGAACAAAATTAAAAGACTTGGTTTTGAATCTCAGCTCCACTACTAGCTTGGTGACCTTGGGCAAGTTGCTTCACTTCTTTCAGTCTTTTTCCTTGTATTTTCTACAAAAGCAGACTGACTGATTCACCATGTTTTTTCCAAAACTTTCTAGGTTCTAGCACAAATGGACCCAAGTCTTGGCAACTCCTTAGTCCCTGACAAACTGGGACAGGTTGCAATAAAGACTCAATGAGATAATACATGCAAAATTCTTTGTAGGTAGCAAGTTGTCAACAAATACAAGCTATCTCTCTGTAATCATTCTTTATAATCTGGATTTCCAAATTCCAAATAAGGGAGCATATCCTTAAATGTGGTAGATCAGACACACCTGCTGCCCTTTCAGGACAACAGTGTGGAATGTGCTTTTTTCTAACCTATTAGATCCTGAAATATTTTGCCTGGGAACCTTCATTCAAAGACCAAGTCCACAACCTTCGGAAGAAAGAGCTCAAGAACCTGCTGTTCTTTGGTCAGCTGCAGTCTCTGATGATACTTATCTTACAAGTAACACCTGTCCTGGTGAGTATCAGAGGAGTCAGTGGACTGGGTAGGTTTTGGATTTGGGTCAGCTTCCTGAAGTGGAATGTCTATTCTTGAGAGATTCCCAGTGTCTGTAGGCCTAATCCAGAAATCCAGGGAATTTATTCCCACTCATCAAACCTCCATATCATCATCCCTACATTATGTCCCAATTCTAGTTCTACCCTTGTGTGCTGTTTGCTGTTTTGGTAACCAAGAGAAAGCTTTCAGGATGTTTAGCATGACTGGATGTGTATAGGATGGTTCCTTGTCTTCTTGGGAGAGGTCATATGAGTTTATGGTGAGAGGAATATTGACATAAGACCCAAACTGTGGTCCTAGCAATCTATTAATTGGCTTTGTAAACTTGGGCAAGATATATCTTCCTCTCTTTGTCTGTTTTCTCATCAGTAACAGGAAGCTGAGATAATCCTTAAGGTTCTCCCAATGCTTATATACTATGTTTCTGAAGTTTAGCCCAGAGCTGGTTGGATCCTTTTCGGAACAGATCATTTATGACCTTGCTCTTCCCAGGTGTCTGTGATCACGTTTGCTGTTTATGTTCTGGTGGATAGCAACAATATTTTGGATGCAGAAAAGGCCTTCACCTCCATCACCCTCTTCAATATACTGCGCTTTCCCCTGGGCATGCTTCCCATGGTGATCTCCTCTGTGCTCCAGGTACATAGGAACTCCACTGCTAACTGCTTATCTCTGGGTAAAAACCCAAGAGGCCAGAATAACTGACCTATTATGTCCCATTTCTAGCTTCTGCTGGTGAACTTTCAGTTAGATCTGTTTGATCTCTGGAGGCCAATGGTTTGATCTTACTTAAATCACAAATTCTCTTGAGCCTCAATATATCTCACTCTAAAATTAGGATTATCATACCAGTATTATCTACCTCACAGGGAATCTTGTGAATTTTATGAAGTCTATTATGATGAGCCCTATTGTTGGGAATATTTCAAAGCCCTTTTCCCAGCCTATTTTCTATGGATTTTTCTAAGATTTTTGAGGTGTTGATACATTAGACAAATATGGCACAAAGGGAGAGAAAGACCCTTTCTTTGCATGAACCCATATAGTGGTAAATTTGGAGCCTTCTGCTGTCAGAAGATGAGTTTTAAGTTTAGGAGGCCTTGGATGGGCCAGAGGACGTATCTGCATTCTGAAAACTGAGCTCTGAGATGGGCCAAGGATCCGACCTTAGGGTTAGTTCACAAGGCAGGTGGCAGACTGATAAGGGGGCCAGAATGATGGGGAACAGGAGAAGTGTGGTGACCTGCTTCAGACAGCTCTGGCCATCAGAAGGACTGGGGTTTAGGAGAAGGCCTCCTTGTCCTGAAGAGAATGAAGAAAGGCTGACCAATTTGGCCAATAAAGAAACAATATGCTCTTTTCAGATATAGTTTATTCCATAGATAGCAAAAGCAAGATCAGCAAAGGTGTCAGCTCCCTGCATTCCTTGTCCCACAGTATAACACTGAAGCAAAAGGGTTTGAATGATAATACAGCATGGACTGTGGGACACTCTTGTTTCTGAGGAGCTGAAACAAGCACTTTTTATAGCCTACAGTTGGTCCCTAAGGAAGGTACAGGCAGAAAGCCTAATAATACTTCAACAAGTCAGGTGGTCGTGAGGACCATCTTATGACAACCTCATTAGAAGATAGGAAGGATGATGAAAAACATCCTTGTAGAAAATTCTTTAAAACCTCCTCAGCTTTCACATTCCAGGTACCACTGGGTGTTCTGCCAACACTTAAGTCAACTTCAATTTCAGCTTTGGTCAATTCCTTTATAGAGGATCCCAGTGGTATCTCAGTTAAGATGCTGGAGGTATCATCAAAGAATAGACTCAATTAAGTAAGGGCAAGACAGGGACCCAGTTACCAGAAGTAGGTAGAAATTAGGGCTTTGTCTTAGAAGAAGGCATGGGACAGTTTCTGGAAACAGGGCCAGAGTTTGGACAGAGATAGCAGTAGAGCTGAACTCCTTGTGTTTCCTGAAGGGCTGAAATGCTGTCTTAATTTGATTCTATCTGGGGATGGCTTCCAGGGATGAAGTGTGGCTAAGTCTGTGGTGAAGGTCAGGAGGCTCTAGATGTGGAAAATGGCAAATCCGGGGGTAATGACAAGTTCCTTTCCCTGTTTGTTAGTTATTGAAATATTTTTATTTTTGAGATCCTTTGTGTCCTTTCCAGGCTACTGTTTCTGTAAGGCGGCTAGAGAAGTACTTGGGAGGGGATGACTTGGACACATCTGCCATTCGACATGTCCGCAATTTTGGTAAACAATTTGGAAGTTGTTTCCCCAAATTATTTGTAGTGCTGGTGCCAGAATTTTGACATTCGGGGCTTGGGAGGGGATGGCAACAAACTAATTAAAGGAGGGTTAGTCTTGATCTTATGCTTGTATAATAAGCATGTGTTAGCTTAAATTATGTTTTCACTCAGAGTGGATTGCCTAGCTATATTGCTAAGCAAAGCTGGGCCAGGCTGTTCTGAGAAAAAAACAGAGAATCCTGCAAAGGATCCAGGAAGCAGAGGTCAGGATGGAGCCACATGTGTGGTGCTGGGAAGGTAGCCTGGAGTGAAGGAAGACAGTTATCCATGAACATAATGAGCAGTGGGTCTGGAATCCAGGGTGGGGATTCATGTATAAGGAGGTGAACTCATACAAGGGGACTGGGCAACAGAGAGCCTAGAGATGTCCTCAGGGCATCTACAGGTCAGGAATCTGGGCTACCAAGTTGAGGACTTCTAAATAAAAAAGGACTTCAAATATGCAGGCCCCTTCTATTCTCATCCTAGGAGCCTTCTAACAGAGGTGACCTTAGGAATTAATAGAGGAAGGAGAGTCACGAGGGCTGGGGAAGGGAAGGCAGATATATGGGGGCTTACAGGTAACCAAAAGAGGGGGCCTTTTCTTCAACAGACAAAGCTGTGCAGTTTTCTGAGGCCTCCTTTACATGGGATCGGGATGCAGAAACCACAATCCAAGAGTGAGTTGCCTCCTTACTATCATGTTATTCCTTAATATTCTTCTTGACTGTTCTGCTTTCTGAAAATTCCCTGTAATAGAATACATGGGGAAACAAACTATGTGTATGTGTTCAGTTAGATACTAGTGCAGACTAAGCCTCTGAGGGATAAGCTGAGAGCAAAGATCCTGAACCTTTGCCATCCAGCTTTCCTATTGTAGGATGGTCTGACTGTCCAGCTGAAAACCCATGACAATGTTTGTTTCCCAGATAACAGATGGAGACAGCAGGGTTGGCAAGTGGCCTAGGTCTCTGGGTATGGTAGAGGCACACCAAGAACCTGAAAGTTAAGTTTATTCATTCATTTAAGAATAATAATCTGGGGGCTTCTAGTGATTGCAGCTCAGTGGTTGAGCACTTGCCTAGCAGGTATGAGGTACTGGGTTCAATCCTCAGCACCACATAAAAATAAATAAAATAAAGGTATAAAAATACAATAATATTATTTAAATTTTTTTTTAAAAAGAATAATAGTCAGGAACATTAGTATCTGACTTTTCCCCACGGACCACACAATGGGAGCTACCTCTATAAAATTCTTTGTCTAGAATTTCACATCAAAATAACCCATTCCTACACTGCACCCCATAGAAGCCACCTCTTCTGTCATGTAGGTGGGCTTACCCCAAGCCTCTTGCCACACTGCTACACAAAGAGTATCTCTTAGGCACACCAACTAGTCCAATGAGCACATTGCCAAAAGAGCAGGCCCTGTCTTTCTCCACAGCTAAGCATGCTGTATCATCTCTCTTCTTATGACTTCCTGCCCTTCTCTCCTATCCCTATAGTCCTGAACATGGACTCATGAGCTAGCCACAGGATGAGTCAGGGAAGGAGCCTCTGCTCTGAACCCTCCCAACCTAAAAACTTCCCTTTGTAGAGGGGAAAGTAGGCACAGTTCCCACTTAACTGCTATAAGTCTGAAAAAGTTCAACTCAATGGGCAGGTTCAGAAAGACTATGAGCAAGATTTCAATGTTCCAAATGTTCTAGGGACTCAAATCATAAGGCTGGCAAACCAGGTTTTTAGGATTATAGCCCAGTGAAGGCTCCATCTCAGCCAGAGAAGTCATTCTTCCCAGAGGGACCAAGGAATCTGCTTTCAGCTAGTGCTATTCATTGAATACATGAAAGATTGTGTAAAAATAAGTAACATTTAGTTTGTCATTGAATAACCTAATTTGGAAAACATTGATTTAGTCTAACTCTGTTAGCTTAGAAACCCAGCAGTGGCAGAATTAGGACCTGAACCAGGCCAGGTCTCTAGACTCCCATCAGGATCTTATTCAATGGTACCATGTTGGTCCTAGGAGGATTTTTCCATTGGAAACACACATTTAGCACAGTTTATAAAGGAGTTGGATAAATTAGAGCTCATTCTTTAGCCTTTTAGAGCCTTAAAAAATTTTCATTATGGGCTGGGCTTGTGGCTCAGTGGTACACCGCTTGCCTAGCATGTGTGAGGCACTGGGTTCGATTCTTAGCACCACATACAAATAAATGAATAAGAAAAAGGTTCATCAACATCTAAAAAATATATATTAAATTTTTTTTTTCATTAAAAGCCAGGTACAGTGGCTCACGTCTGTAATACCAGCAGCTTGGGAGGTTGAGACAGGAGAATAGCGAGTTCAAAGCCATCCTCACCAACTCTAAATAAAATACAAAATAGGGCTGGGGATATGGCTCAGTGGTCGAGTACTCCTGAGTTCAATTCCTGGTACCAAAAAAAAATTTTTTTTTTCATTAAAGAACTGAGGTCTTATATGTCCAAGGTTAATTTTCCAATCTTGAGAGGGAAATCTCATAATACCAGACTTCATGGAGAGTCAAGGCTTGAACTACTCTTGATTACGAAGCCCTCATTGTCTTCAAAATAATTTTGCTTCTTTCAGTGTGAACCTGGACATTATGGAAGGCCAGTTGGTGGCTGTGGTGGGCACTGTAGGCTCTGGGAAATCTTCCTTGATGTCAGCCATGCTGGGAGAAATGGAGAATGTCCATGGGCACATCACCATCAAGGTGAGAGGGAATGCCAACAGAGAAAACATCTGACTTTCAAATATGGGCCATTTAGGGCTGTTTCCTCACTGGGGAGAATATACTAGTAGTTGAGGCCTTGGAGACATCTGGTAGATTTGTGAACAATAGACTCTCTGCCCTATTCCAAACTTATATAATCAGATTCTGGGAATAGGTTCTAAGAATCTGCATTTTTAATGAGCTTCCCATGTGATTCTCATATGTATAGTAAAGTGTGAAAACTATTCATTAGAGACGTCTTTCTTCAGAGAGTGGGGATTTCTACTACAGTACCAACAGAAGCAGTAGCAAGAACAAAAAAACAGTGGTCTGTAAAATCAGTACTGGCATGGCACTCAACATCAACCCAAAGTCACAATTAATCTTGGGCATTTCACCTCCTTCTTTGAGAACTAGATTTTTGAGTACACTTGCTCCTAATTCACAAACCTGTCACAGGGTGTTGACTCCTTCATACTCATGACTTTTTTAACACAAGAAAATGTTTTCATGGCATTTCCATTGGTACTCTGAACTTCCTCAGAGAGCTAAATTTGGAAGAAATTAGAGGTATTTTTGAATTATTAAACCAGTCAATACTTGCACCAAAGAGTCAAGTCTACAGATTTTCAGGAGTTTTCCCTTTAAGATTTTTGTATATTGCCAAATCTTAATGTTTTTTTTGGGGGGGTGGTGGCGGTTACCGGGGATTAAATTCAGGGGCACTTGACCATTGAGCCACATCCCCAGCCCTATTTTGTATTTTATTTAGAGACAGGGTTTCACTGAGTTGCTTAGCACCTTGTTTTTGCTGAGGTTGCTTTGAACTCATGATCCTCCTGCCTCAACTTCCCGAGCTGCTGGGATTACGGGCATGAACCACTGTGCCCAGCCTAAATCTTTCTTTTTTAATTAATTAATTAATTTTTGTATGATGCTGGGGATGGAACCCCAGGGCTTTGTGTGTGCTAGGCAAGCACTCAACCACTGAGCTACATCCCCAGACATAAAGCTTTCTTTTCACTTATGAGAAAGCTTGTCCTGGGTTGCTTTATGTTGATCCACTTGGAAGTTTTTAAGAAATATCTCTTCTTCCACAGTATACTGATGTGCTTTCCTGATTTACCAATCTCTAATGAGCTGAGTTGCATTAAAAATAATGCACTACAACAGAGATGACTGTATAGATTTAACTTTGTTTCCCAATTCCTTTTGGAAACTTTTTATTGCTAACTCATAATTGAGTGTTTTAAAAACTTATTTGTTCTTTTTAAATACACATGACAGTAGAGTGTATTTTGGCATATGGTACATACATGGAGTATAACTTATTCTAATTAGGATCCCATTCTTGTGGTTGTACATGATGTGGAGTTATTCTGGTTGGTTTTCATATACAAGTATAGGAAAGTTATGTCCGATTAATTCTACTGTTTTTCCTATTCTCCTCCCTGCCCTCCCTTCCCTTCATTCCCCTTTGTCTAATCCAATGGGCTTCTATTCTTCCTTTGTTGTAGGTTAGCATCCGCATATCAGAGAGAACATATGGCCTTTGGTTTTGGGGGACTGAGTTGTTTTTGTTTTTGTTGTTGTTGTTGTTGTTTTTTAACACAGGCATCTGTTGGTCTTTATCTCTCTTCAGATTATATCTGCTCTGTGTACCCCCTGGTGTCTTAATTCTAACCTCTTAGTTTTTACTTCCTAAGATGTCATCTATGGCAATCCCTGAAAGTAGGTCCAGTATACTCATTGAGTTGAACTAAAACACTATTCTAGAAGCAGCATGTGCATTCATCTTCTGATTTTCAGGTTTGTGACAAGAAAAATGATAGTCTAAAAAGAGGAGGCTTAATGATGAATTGAATCTTTCTCCCTGGTCGGTTCAATAAATATAAGCACATTCATAAATATCAGATGCTCAAGCAGCCTGACACATAGTTCTTCAAGTCTAACTTCTATTTGTTCCTCCCACTTCTGCCCATCTCATCCTTCAACCCTGCATTTCTGGAGGTACAACTTTCACATGGTCTGATCCTTTCCTGTCTAGGGCACCACAGCCTATGTCCCTCAGCAGTCCTGGATTCAGAATGGCACCATAAAGGACAACATCCTTTTTGGGTCAGAGTTCAATGAAAAGAGGTACAAGCAAGTTCTGGAGGCCTGTGCTCTCCTCCCAGACTTGGAAATATTGCCTGGAGGAGACCTAGCTGAGATTGGAGAGAAGGTACTTGGGACAACAAGATATTAAAGAAAAAAAAATGAGGATGATGGCAAAGTACATAGAGTAACATAGTTGATCAATATTGCTAGTCGTGTTTGGAACAAACACCAGAAAATGTGTTTGTATTATCTGGCCACAAAATTTTGTGTAATAAGTCAGAATTTTTAAACTTTTTACTTAGAAGCAAATATTGGAATTACATAACCTAAATAAAAGGTGATGAATCAAAGGACTGAGAGGCTAAGTTAACAATGACTGGCCCTAGATTTACCTGTATTATTAAATGCCTCATGCTATTAAATATCTTTTTATAAAAATAGATTTTAAATAAAAAATTATATTTTTAAGTAACTATACAAGCATAGCATTAATTTATTTATAAATTTTTTATTCTATATATTTAAAATGTTTTCATCCATTCTTTTATTACTGAAAATGAATCTTTGGTGGGGTGGGGTGGATTGGGAGGGCAAGGATCTTGAGGTGCTAGAAGACTAGTAACAGCTCTTGAGTGATTTTGCTTATTAATTCAGCGTACATTTATTAAGCAACTATGTGAAAGGCACTATTTTAAGTGCTGGGATTATATCCAGGAACAAAATAGAGAAAACATCTGCCCTGGTGTAGCTCTAGATTCTCATGGGGTTGGGAAAGCAACAAAATATTAAATAAGTAAATTATCTGATAGAAAATGTAAATTGTGCATGCCTTTAACTATTGGACTGAAAGTTATTTGCATCCAAGTTATTTATTTGTATAAAGAAGCATAAGATTTTTATGCTCGTAATATTTTCTTGAGGCAAATTTCTTCCTTTTACCCCTCCTTATTAGACTCTGTGAAGTTGGGACTGGGAATAATACTTAATAGAAATTGTTTTCTTCTTCAGAAATTATTATTTTAAAACTTTCTTCTTTTTCTTTTCTTCAGGGTATAAATCTCAGTGGCGGTCAGAAGCAGAGAGTTAGCCTGGCCAGAGCTACTTACCAAAATGCAGACATCTATATTCTAGATGACCCCTTGTCAGCTGTGGATGCGCATGTGGGAAATCACATTTTCGAAAAGGTCTTGGGCCCCAATGGTCTGTTGAATGGCAAGGTGAGAGATTATTCAAAGTGATGAAGATCTAAGGGCAAGGGGATGGGAATCACACACATCTCCCTGGACAGTTATTGTTCAGAAGCAGATTTTCTTATTCACTTGCTCCCTGGGTTCCTGAGGAAAGAGCGAAAGACTGGTCTCCTTATAGACTACCTCAGGAAGGCTTCCATGGTGAGGTATGGCTTATGCTGGAACTGGCTAATTTAAAACTTATTTTGTGGCTCTGTCACTGAGCATCTTAGGATGATTGGCTATAATAAAAAGTACTATGAACCTGTGGTTATAATAGGAAATATATTTGGTCTTTGTTTCTAGTTTCTAACACAGAGCTCCTAAAACCCTTGGAATTTTAAGAGTGCTAGGAGGGTCTTTTGTTATTCATAATGAGCCCCTTTGATCACACCTGAGTTTATACTCATGAGATAACTTAGGGTAGAGGCCCTCCAAAGCCTCAAGTTTGGTTACCAGCATGAACAAGTGATTAGGTTGGAACTTTCAGCTCTACCCACTGCCCTCCAGGTGGGGTGGGGGTGGAACATGGAGATTGGGTAATAACAATCCATGAACAATGAGATTGGAATAACTTCCAAATTGGTGACCATATCAAGGTATTGGAGGGTGGGGATAGAGAGGTCCTGAAAAGTTCCACATCCCTCCTCCATAGCTTTCCCTGTGTAACTTTTGCTTTTTTAGTTGTAGATGGACACAATATCTTTATTTATTTATTTTTATGTGGTGCTGAGGATGGAACCCAGTGCCTCACACATGTGAGGCAGGCGCTCTACCCCTGAGCTACAGCCCCAGCACCCACCTACACCTCCTTTTTTTTTTTTTAACCTGTGTATCTTTTCCATTGACTGTTCCTGAGTTGTATCCTTTACAAGCTGACAAGTGTTTAGGTAGTTTTTTCCTGAGATCTGTGAGCCTTTCTAGAAAATTATGGAATGACAAAAGGGAGTTGTGGGAACTTCCAACTCATAGGCATTTGGTCAGAATTATGAGACTTGGTACCAACATCTGAAGGGGGATGCAATTTTGTGGGACTGAACCTTTAAACTGGGGTTCTGTGCAAACTCCAGATAGTTAGTGTCAAAATTTAATTTTGAATTGTTGGACACTCACCTGGTGTCAGAGAACTGGTCAGTGTCAGGAAAAACCCCAGACGACTCAACAGTTCACTTGCTGGTAGTAGGACACAGGTCATCCTGCAGGAATTAGAGTTATGCTCTAAGAAGGCGTTTTCCCTGGAACTTTTGCAGGATATGAGAAGACTATTCCTGGAAAGGATGGCTAAACCTGAACCCAGAAATAAGACCTAATGCTTATTGAGTATTCCCTATGTCCCTGGCCTGTGCTGAGCCTTTTAACTGCATGGCCTCATTTGATTCTTGCAATGTCCTTGTCATATAATACAGATGAAGTGGCTGATGAAAGCCAGTAGAACTGGTTGTGGGAGGAGACCAGACATTCCTTACTATGGGAAAATTGGCATGTGTATCCTAACACAGTGGGCTGAATTGGGGGAGAGCTGATGCAGCCCCTCTGCTGATGAGAGCTTTTCCACTGGTGTTGGGCAAGGAGATTCTAACTCTATTTGGCCTGTTCCCTACAAGATTTCTTGAACGCTACTAGTCACAGGACGGCAGAGTTGATGAGACCTGGGCTGCTATTCCACTGAGGCCCTTCATCTCTCTGTTGGATCTGTGGATCAGCAGGAACTCTCTGTCTCTCCTATTCCTGGACCTGGCTTGTGTCCTTACAGATTTCTTGGTTTCATTCACTCATGAACTGAATGCCCACCTCAGGCCAGATTTGGGACATGTCTAGATGGAAATATCTGGTCATTGCTCTCATGTAACTTACAATCCAAGGGGAAGACATTAAAAAAAAAAAAAACAAGCCATAATGTTACAAAACAAGAACTGTTTTAATGGTAGCCTGTACAGACTAAAGTGGGAACATTGGAGAATACCCAAATCTTGTCAGAGGAATTAGAAAAGAGGAGAATGTGTAGGGAAAACCTCATTGTCACTACAGGAAAATATCTCTGAGTACATCCACAATGATAGGAGTCTCATTTCACATATAGATGAGATGAGATGCTGGGAATGAAAGAAGCAAAATAAGCCAAGTGGTCAGGGCCACATTTGAAGCAAAGCCCCAGTGTGAATTGACATGTTTTTTCCCTTTTAGAGTAATCCAGGAAGATGATGGACATAGGGTAATCAGCACAACTTAATGTTATTTTTTACAGACTCGACTCTTAGTTACACATAGCATTCACTTTCTTCCCCAAGTGGATCAGATTGTGGTTGTGGGAAATGGCACCATCTTGGAGAAAGGAACCTATAGTGACCTGCTGGCCAAGAAAGGAGTGTTTGCTAAGAATCTGAAGACTTTTGTAAAATATTCGGGTCCTGAAGGGGAGGTCACAGGTATGCAAGGAGGATTGGAACAGGATGGAACTTGGGGCCGGGGTGGAAATGGTAAAACAATATCTACTTCACAAATTGTTTAGTATACAATGAACTGCACTTGGAATTGAATTACTCAGAGATTCAGACTCTGTTCTTCAGTGTTCTGGGTAAAGAAACATAGACATTGAAATTCTGTGCCTAGGCCAAATGGGCAGCTCATCCTGCTCATCTCTCTCTGACACACAATCAAAGGACACTCTTTAAAGGGTACAATTGAAGGTTTGGGTAAGTAACCCTTGTGAAAAGAATACCAGTGGCACAAGGAACTCACTCTCTTTTAGGGATGCTATGCTTCTGTTGATTCAAGTGACACATACCATTCCAACTACCCCCAAATTCAATTAAAATCGGTTCCTGGACAACCTCATAAGCTGGTGCTAATAGTGTGATATCAAACTCTTGGTAAGCTTTAACAAAGGAACCTTGATTAATATACGAAAAACACTGGGTTTTGAATCATAAAAAATAGTGTCAGTTATATAGAGTCACAGCATTCCATGGGAACAGCCCCTGATATCACTACCATTTGGTTTATTGTTTAGCTCCCATCAACAGTGGAGCCCTGTTTACTAGCATGTTATTGTTTTCGTTTTGAGACTTGGGACTTAGTGGCATGAAGGGAGGGTAAGTTGAGCTATATTAATATTTGTTCTGTGACTTAGCTTCCCAGTTAACCACTGTAACAAAATACCACAAGTCTGGATGACTTAAACGAAATAGATGATTGCTATGAGGATGAGCTCAGTAGTTAAGTGGCCCTGGATTCAATCCTCAGGAGAGAGAGAGAGAGAGAGAGAGAGAGATTGACTATTGCTCACACTTCTAAAGGTAGAAGGGCATGATCAAGGTGTTGGCAGGATTTGTTTTTTCTTAATGTGCTAGGGGAAGACCCATTTGAGGCCTCTCCTCTAGTTTCTGGTAGTTGACTGGCAATCATTGTAGTGCTATTTGCTGTTGTTTCTTCTATTTATTTGTTTAGTTTTCTGAGTTAATTTAATTAAGTTTGTGCCATTTGTCATATGTGGCCACTGAAATCTCTGCTTGGTTGGCATAGTGGTCACCTATTGGTTATACAGATTTCCTTGGATGCCTGGCACCAGTAAGTCTCATAGCCGTTGCTGAGAGGCTATGTATGTTGGTGCATAGCTTCAGCACTGTGACAATTTACATCAGTGCCTTAGCCTTTACTTCCTCAGTGAAATGAAGGTCATCTAACAGTTAATGGGACTGATAATTTCATTATTATTTTTTGTGGTACTAGGGATTGAACGCAGTGGTTCAATCTACCACTGAGATAGGGCCTTGTTAAGTTGCTAAGGCTGGCCTCAAACTTACAATCCTCCTGTATCTGCCTCCTGACTTACTGGGATTACAGACATTGCCACCATATCCGGTTAGCCTCTGCTTCCTGCTTGCACAAAGTAACAAGATCAATCTGAAGTGAGACACTAGGACCTTCTGCAATCTTACCTGGGCATATTCATAGCCCTACATATGTGTGTGGCATCCTAGATTGCCAGGAATATATCAGAGGTATCAAAGTCCTCTGTGGAGGACATCTCATTCCCCAAATTTTCCATTTAATTTTTTGATCAGTTTCTTATTTGCCTCAACTGTTACCATCCCCTCAGGCATGTGTGATGTTAAACAGTTGCTGCTGATTGTTTGAACTAGCTCTGAGGTCAAATAAAGACAAGTCTTGTGAATGGAGGTTTTCAGGGAGTTCTAGACAGGTGAGATAATGGCAATTCACCGCCAGTGTTTTTTTTGGGTTTTGTTTTGTTTTGTTTTTTTTAAGGGGAGGAGGCATTCTAAACTTACTCTATTTCCTTAAGTGGCTGCTGGGCTGCTAGGTTTTATGGCCACCATAATTTTATGGCTCTTGGCTTTCTAGGATACAGCAACTGGAGAGAAAGAAATGGAAATAGGGCAACTTAAACCACTATAAGGTGGACTGTTTTTGCCAAGACCCAGTCATTTAAAAAAATAATTGATCTTTTATTGTTGCAACTCTTTGGTTAATTTCAGAGTTCTGAAACAGTTTATTCTGACAATGTTTTTTAACAGTATTCTCATTGCTTTTTTGGAGGAACAGATTTCCGGAGATCCTTATTCTACTATTTCCACTAATTTCCATATTATATTTTACATTTTATTTTACTTTCAGGGTATGCTTTTTTAAATGTTTTCAATAAATAAGAGCTTCTTATATTCTTCGAGATTAGCATTTCCAATTTATAATCATCTCTTTAGGCAATTCTGGGAATGGCGACTCTTCTGTTTATCTACAATAATTCTTAAAAGTTCTTTCCTGCTCCAAAGGAATTTTTGTCTCTGGGCTTTTCTTCTCCTATTGTAGCCTGTTTGTATATCTGGGATCCCTGTGTTGAATCCAACAAGATCAGAGAAGGCTTCTCTCTCCTTATTCTGTCTGTTTCTTCTCTGTGAACACTGTGCCGTTTCCCTAACCTCTAATGTGTCTCTCTAGTCAATGATGATAATGAAGAAGAAAATGACGACAGTGGACTGATAGCTGGTGTGGAGGAACTCCCTGAGGAAGCCGCCTCCTTGACCATGAAAAGAGAGAATAGCCTCCGTCGAACCCTGAGCCGCAGGTACACCACTGATCCAGCTGGCAGCCTTTATCACTTCCTATTTCTGCTTGATCTCTTTTTCTCTGTGGGCTTTTACTGAGAAGAGGGATGCCATGGGCCCTCCTAGCTCTTCCTTCGTTTCCTTATATGAAGGGCTAGGCTTGTGTCCATTTCCCACAGCCATCTGCTTCCATGCCAGCACAGTGACTGTGACCTCAGTTTGCAAGAAGACTCGGAGGAAGCATCTACATGCTCAGGGGAGTCTCCCTCTCTCTGTCTCTCAGCTCCAGGTCCAGTGTCCGGAACCCAAAAACCCTGAAAAACTCCTTGAAAAGTCGGAATGGGAATGCCCTGAAGGGGAAGGAAGGAGTAGTACAAGGGCAAAAGCTAATTAAGAAGGAATTCATGGAAACTGGAAAGGTGAACACCACACCAATAAAAGCACCATGGGAGGGGATATAGGGTTTAGAATCTGAACATTTTAAAAATCAGTTTAAACTCGATTACTTATCTTCGGGAAAATATGTTCAATTCTTTTGTAATTCTTCAGATTCATTATTAAAACAACACAGGCTGTAGGCCTTCTATGAAAATGACATGTTCCCGTAAATATCCTCACTCCATCCTTCATGAGTGCTAGATTCCCATTCTGATATGTAGAGAACAACAAAAAACTGTTTTGAGATGTTGTTCTAGAAGCCCGGAAACTAATGTAGCAGACCCAGAGCACACAATTCAAAATCAATGAGACTTAAAACAAATTCCAAATTATACTTGCTACTCTTAATTCCCTCTAGATGTTCATTAATAATCAGATGGCTGTTTACCCTGCATTGCAATTCAACATGGATCTCTTATCCTGGCCCAGTGCAGGGATGATGACCACAGATTACCAAATTTGGCTACTTGCAAAATTTTCCCAAGAGCATCCACTCCTCCTTGTGATTGTTTTTTTTAGATAATTCCAACAACAACAAAAAACCACATTAGGGCATCTACTAACATTGGTGGGGGCTTTGCAGGTGAAGTTCTCCATCTACCTGAAGTACTTACAAGCAGTAGGATGGTGTTCAATATTCTGCATCATCTTTGCCTTCGTATTGAATTCTGTGGCTTTTATTGGATCCAATCTCTGGCTCAGTTCTTGGACTGGTGACTCTCAAGCCTTCAATGGCACTAACTATCCAGCCTCTCAGAGGGAAATGAGAATTGGGGTCTATGCAGCTCTGGGAATAGCACAAGGTACGTCTGACAGCTACAACAGCCTGTACTTTGCTTGTCCTGGGCATAAATCTTTAGGGATTTCCATGTATGGTGCTAACAAAATTTGGTTCCATTCCTAGGTATATCTGTATTTATAGGAACTTTCTTGAGTGTGTATGGTTGCAACCATGCATCAAAAATCTTGCATGAACAACTGTTGAACAATATCCTTCGAGCACCCATGAGTTTTTTTGACACAACACCTACAGGCCGGATTGTGAACAGGTTTACTGGTGTAAGTATCTCAAGGGCTATACAGTGATGTGTTTATATACTGAGGATCTTTCTATTTCTGATAAGAAGGAATTCTTGTGTACCCCCTAGACTGTTCTTTTGCCCTCTCAGCATGCAAATATTTCTTAAGCACCTCCTATGAAGTCCTAAAGATCCTAGGGATACAGGGATAGAGCTCTGGCCCCTCTGTCACTCACATCTAATGAGGAGACAGCCCAAAACATAAAGGATTATGATAGAATATGGTGAAACCAGTAACCACAGTGTGTACAGGTGTTCTGGGAGTACAAAGGAATGATGGAGAAATGAGATAGTAGCTCAACCTGGATGACTGAAATGGAAAATGTCAGAAAAGGTGAGACTTGAGTTCAATCATAGAAGTAAACCAGAGAGCTGATAGGGGTTGTTGAGGGGAGTAGAACCAGGGTAAGAAGGATTATTGTGCTGAGTGAAAAGCATAATTAACAGCACTGTCACTGCTTGTGACAGTGAATAAAAGTGATAGGCGGATCATCTTTTGCTTCGTATCTGCTGTCATTCCTGAAGCTTCCATCTTTGATGATTTAAGAACCAGGGAGTGAGGTCTGAATGTGGATTAGAGCTGTCTATGTTTTTTTTTGTTTTGTTTTGTTTTTTTTTTTTAAGAGAGAGAGAGAGAGAGAGAGAGAGAGAATTTTTAAAATATTTATTTATTTATTTTAGTTTTTGGTGGACACAACATCTTTGTTTGTATGTGGTGCTGAGGATCGAACCCGGGCCCGCACGCATGCCAGGCGAGCGCGCTACCACTTGAGCCACATCCCCAGCCCCAAGCTATCTATGTTTTAAGGAGGTTCTCAAACTTTGTTTCCATCTACCACAGATGCTGGAACCATTGGCATGCGTTCATTCATCCAACATTTACTGAGTGCCTTTTTATGGAGCCAAGTACTGCACTAGGCACTCAATAAATGTTAAGATCATAGATGACTATGAACCATGAACCAGACCTAATTCACTGAATTTTTTAATGCATGTGAGTAGAAGTTTCAGGAATAGCGGCAGAGACCAGGCAATTCTGAAGGATATTCAAGCATCAGCACAATTTTTTATTTCTTTACTTGAAAATTCATTTTATAAAATGTCTGAGAAGCTCTGAACCATTTTTTGTTTGGCCTTGGAACAGACACAGGAAGGGTAGCTCATACCGTAGACCAGGTTCTAGAGATAACAGCAACCACTTCAAAAGTGGGCAGGTAACTGGTTCCCATTTGTCACCTTCCTGTGGGGTAGAAATGAGGAGCACACTGTCATTGGAGACCACTTCCATGGACTCTCTTCTCTAAATGGAACCTAAGCAAGCAAAAACTTTTGGATGGGGATTTTGCAAAGATTGCATAGTCTTCCCCATGTCAAGGTATCTAATTAATCTTCTGGAAAAGAGAACGTGTGAGTTAGTTAAACTATAGTCATGTTTTGCTGACTGCTTTTCATGAAAAAAAACTATCATTAATCATATAGTAAGTTTTGCAGGGGAGGTGGCTCAAGCTTATAAAGGGGGATTTTGATCTAGGGTTTTCTAGAATCAGTGGCTGAGTCCTTAAGAGGAGAAAGAGTGGAGGAAAGGAAGATGGGGAATCTGTGCTAGGTAAGGATCAAAAGTGATCTGCATAGAACTGATAGCTGGTGAAGATTTCTTGTTTTTTGCCAACTCTTGACATAGTTACATATTTGCATTCTGATATAACTTTGGGAAAGGTAGATTAGACTCAGGAGTCATCCCCAATTCAGAGTTATCCTGGAAGAATATTATCCCTGACCCAATCTGGGGAAACTCCAGAGATAATTTAGACTCACCTTAGCACTCACAGATAGAATCAATATAATCCTCTAAGAAAGCTAGGCAAGGGCAACCTAAGATATAAGCCAGGCTTCCTGAGTATGCTCCAAACCATCCTTCCATCCATTAATCTTATCATTTTAAATTTTATTTTGCATGAGAACAATATGGCAGTAAGACCCCTCTATCACCTCTAGGTTCCTTAGCTGGAACTCTGGCCAGTCAGGAATCATGTTCAATCCCTTTCCCCTGAGGTTCTATGCTTGGCAGAGGAAACAACTTTCCAGGAGAGGATGGTACTTCAGTCAAGGGTGGGTGACAGGGTTTGTTAACTGGAGTTTCCCAACAAATGTGTATTGAATCCCAGTCTCTGTTCTAGGTACTCCATAGAATTAGGACCTTTATAAGGTTAGAATAGCTCAATTGGTTTGTTATTAGAGAATGATTATAAGCCTCTATTGGTTTATAATAATTATGAATTGTTTAATAAATTTGATGGATGATGAGTGAAAACTTTTATCAACTGTACTGGAAAAGGTGAGGAATGACTGCTGGGTCTGTCTGGAGGTACTTTAAAAACTGAGGAAGCTATAGAAATGAGATTTCTTATTAGGATGAGTAGTATAATCTATTGCAAATGAATATCTTAACAAGATTAAATGAAGGAGTGTCAAGAAACCCAGAATTGAACAGATGCCTCTCTGGAACCAGGAAGATATACAGTGTCTAAAAAATTCATTGGTTCATCGTCTGTCCTAACTGTATTGTTAGGATATTTCCACGGTGGATGACACTCTCCCTCAGTCCTTGCGCAGCTGGATTGTGTGCTTCCTGTCGATAATCAGCATCATCGTCATGATCTGCATGGCCACCCCTATCTTTGTCGTCATCGTCATTCCTCTTGGCATTATTTATGTGTCTATTCAGGTACATTTGGAAATGGGTAGGTCTGCCTTTCTCTCTGCTCATTAAAGCCAGGATCCTTTCTGAGACTCCTCTCTTTTGTTTGTGGCTAGTCACTTCTCTCCAGCATCTTTGCCATTTCATCATATATCTTGATACCCAGGAGCCCACAGGCCACTGTCTGAAGCTCAATTGTCAGCATCAACTGGTACATTATGGTTCACAGCATTTCACAGCCTGACTACCTACCCCCCAGAACCTTAAGTGGAATGGATTTATGTTTAGATTCAAGACCACTCTGAGATTAGCTCTGGACAACTTCTTGCAGCTCCATAAGAACTCCATGATGTTAGGACATTTCTAGAAGAACTTGTCATGGCTGCTTCCTCTTTTGATTTTGGGTAGGCAGCTTTACTTAGAGATGTCTGTTAGCAGGAGCTAGATCTCTTCATTTCAGGGCACTTCTAGTTTCACTGGGGTATCTCTGGATGGTTTAGGCTCAGTTTCAACATATTTTTTAAGGGAACAGATAGCTTGGGAGCCAAGCTTCACAAAAAAACTAGAAGGGACTTTAAAATGGCCATAATAAAAACTGATGAGGAGAGGGAAGCTGTGAGAAGAGCTTTTGTCCCACTAGCTGCCTTTGTGATGAATTCTTAACCTAGGTCAAACCATTTTGAAGACTCTACAGTCTGGGGGGCTTATGACCTTGTGATCTGTAGTAAGATGGCACCCGTTTGGGTCTATGGAGTTCCACAGGTGCACCAGCGTCTTCATAATAGCCTTCTGACAGCCCATTACAATTCAGCAAATAAGAGGCAGGGTTATTTGAGGAAACTTCCAGATATAACATTTTGCATTCTATCAAATAACTCTCAAATGCCCAGTTATTCTTAGGTTTCAACAAATCCTCACAGAATCCAATAGCACTAAGATTCTATTCCATCATTCCTTGCCCTTTAAGCCATGGAGATTCTTTCTGCATTCTATTATATCCAGCTCATTCTGACACCCTCAACATTCTGCACATTTCCAAAACTATTTTACCTTCACACACTATTGAGGCATGATTTTGGTTACTCAACTGATTCTGTTCTTCAGTTTTGCTCATACCTTGTATTCCTTTCTCTGGCCATTTCTTGCCCATCCCCACTTTAAATTCCTTAGGTCCAGATATCCTTTACAAAATCCTTTTGTAGACCATTTATGTAACCAGCATAGAAACTTTCATTTGGATAACATATGCAGATGTCAGGGGGAGAATATGGACAAACCCCCTGAGACTAAGGTGTGGTCTCCTCACTTTTATCTTCCTCTATTCCCCACCAACTGCAGTCTTTCTATTGCCCTCTTCTTTGGGCCTCTTTCCTCCTTCTTCTAGCCAAAGATTCAGGTTTCCTTCATGTTCAGATGTGGGCTGGGTCCCCAGTGAGGAATGTTGGGTCATGTCCAGAGGGAAGATGTACAGGATATGCAACAGGATTATGTGGTTGATTCTTCACTTTTTGTGTTCAGGTATTTTATGTGGCTACGTCCCGCCAGCTGAGACGTCTGGACTCTGTCACCAGGTCCCCCATCTATTCTCATTTCAGTGAAACCGTATTAGGTTTGCCTGTTATCCGTGCATTTGAGCACCAGAAGCGATTTAAAAAACAAAATGAGGTGGGGATCGACACCAATCAAAAATGTGTCTTTTCCTGGATTATATCCAACAGGTGAGGTTTTCCCAGGTATGATTCCAAATGTGTACTTCCGGGCTCTGTGTGTTTGTCATTAGCCATGCAAGGGAGGACAGGCATGACCAGGGTGTAAAGCTCATTTTGGCCACACACACCTGTCATGCTATGTAATAGAAAAAATCATGAGCTTTAGCACCAGAGACTGGGTCCCTAGGCCAGCTCTGCCATTTACCATGCTAAGTAAATTGCTTGACCTTGCTAAGGAAAATTTAAGTCCCTTTGCTTTCACAATGGCTAGGACACAACTTGACTGATAGGGTTGTGGTGGAAGTCAAACGCCATTTCTGAGCATTTGGTAGCCCATCTATAAGCCCTGGATAAACTGAACATTCTCCACTTGCTTCCTTGAGAATGTATAAGAGATTCTCCATAGACATGATATTTTTTTTTACGGTGGTGAAAACAGTAGAGGTTGGAGAGAGGAGAGTTGAGAATTTTTAGGTAAATCTATTGATGGCAGAAATGGAAAGCTCACATCCTGTGAGGCAAATCCCTGAGCACTGTGAGCATCATCAGACCCTGGGAAGCAATGTGCTTGAAGGAGAACAGTCTTGTCAGGAAGGAACAATTCTTGAGTAGCTTCCAAAGTATCTTGGTATTGAGGGTAGGTAAATGATGGTCAGTGTTATTTGAAACATTGGGAGGTCAGAGATTTGATCATAAAGATATTTGATTTCTTACAGGCTTTCTAAAAAGGAAAAGGAATATAAGTAAATCTTATTGGACCCCCATGATGAAATATGTACCATATTTATTTGTACACATGCTAGAATCATTTGTGCAAACCTCCATTTTATTTGAGAAAGTCAACTTTCATAAGCCATGTCTATATTACATGTATTCTGTAGTTCTCTACAAAATCCCCCTATATCTCCCTGTGATGGAATTCACACTTAACTTCCCTCCACTCCTAGCTTCTCTGCCTCGTAAAAATACTCAAGTCAGATCGGGTACACTGAACCTTCGTGTGGTGCTTGTTTTTAACCATACATCTGGATTCACTATGGCATTGCTTTCTTGGCTTGATCAAAAGAAATCACTTATAGCATTCGCTTAAAATGCACACTCTTAAACTATATCCTAGGCTCCTGAACCAAAATCTCCTAGGGAAGGGTCCAGGAATTTTTCACATGAATCTATAATGTAATGTTTTTAACAATTGCTTTTCTTTTTTTTAAAATTTTTTATTGTTGGTTGTTCAAAACATTACATAGTTCTTGATATATCATATTTCACACTTTGATTCAAGTGGGTTATGAACTCCCATTTTTACCCCGTATACAGATTGCAGAATCACATCAGTTACACATCCATTGATTTACATATTGCCATACTAGTGTCTGTTGTATTCTGCTGCCTTTCCTATCCTCTACTATCCCCCCTCCCTTCCCCAACAATTGCTTTTCTTATAATTTGGTGACTTTGGGAGAAATTGTACTATAGGATCCCTTAGTTAGTAAACTCTTCTCAGACCTTTAACATGCCATTTATTATCTTAAAAAAAAAAAACAATTTAAAGGACTTTTAGGAATATATTCAGATATTCCTAGATCAAATTGTGGCACCTTCTCAGAGCACAGCCCTACCAAATCACACCCTCTGAGAATGTTCTGTGAGCCCCAGGGTACTGGTCAAGGTAAGGAAGTGGAGATCGGTGACACCTCTCTCTCTGGTTCTGTTGCCCTGCAGGTGGCTTGCAATTCGCCTGGAGCTGACTGGGAACTTGATTATCTTCTTTTCTGCCTTGCTGCTGGTTATTTATAAAGACACCCTGAATGGGGACACTGTGGGCTTAGTTCTGTCCAATGCCCTCAATGTGAGTTTGAAGACTGGGTGTTTGAGTAAATTCATACACTTATTCTTAAACTGAATCTGGAGTATATTGTACAGTTGAAACTAGGAGAAACTGAGATTTGAGCCCTGGCTCCATCTCTTTCTTACCCCTACCCTACTCAAGAAGGCACTATATCACTTAGGAAAAGGACAAAAATAAGCTGGTTGTGGTGTCACACACCTGTAACCCCAGTTACTTGGAAGGCTGAAGCAGGAGGATCACAAGGTCAAGGCTAACCTCAGCAACTTGGTGAGACCATGTCTCAAAATATGGGACTATGGTTTAGTGGTAAAGAGTTCCTGGGTTCAAATTCCAGTACTGCAAGAAAAGAAAAAAAAAAAAAAGACATAAATGTTGTTGTCCTTAGGGCTTAAGAAGGCAACTTATGTTTCAATTCAATATTCTCCTGTGTTTTTGCTTTTGGTTGGTTCTGTTAAAAAGAGATAATTAAATTTCTCCTCTAGAATATAGCAGTAATCAGAAAGTCCTTTGGACAAATAATTCTGTGATGTAAGTTTGTGCTTACATCACAGAACAACTGGAGCTAACAGTAATAGTCTGAAAAACCGTATAATGTATCTCACAGCACCACCCCCAGCATGACTGGGGATAAATGCCAGACATTATTGTTTCCTAGCATCTAAGACAGTAGTTGGCCCTTCAGTAACTTTTCAATAAATATTTGTTCAATAAGTAAATCATTTGACCATCTTTCATGGTATCTCTTTGAACTAACATTTAGAGGCTTGCATAGCCCCAAGTGTGTTTTAAACAGCGCTGTCTTCATTAGAAGTTAATAAGACCCACAGTGATCCTGCCAGAGCATCCAAAAGTACTCTGTTATCCACCTGAGTCACTTGGTTGCTTGTGACTTTGCCCCTTTATCCCCCAAGACAAATAAGACAAAGAATCAGGAAACCATTAAATTGAGCCCCCCCCCAAAAAAAAAAAAATCAGGAATGGTTCAACCTACACAAAGTTGTCACTCTTAGTCTTCATGCTCCTCCCCTCTGTACTCTGTGGCTCCCTTTCTCTAACCATCATTCACTCCACAAAAATTCCCTGTGCATATGTGCAAACTCCCATTTTTTTCTCTGAAAGAAGCTCACAGCTGAGTAACCCCTGGCCTCTAGAGGATCCACATGGATGGTCCCACCTTTGAGGTCAAGGTTGAACAAGAACAGAGAGAGCAGCCAGCTTTTCTCATGTTCTTCTCCATTTGTAGAAATCCATCTGCAACCCCTTCTACAAAAAGCAGGAAGCTTACAGGCAGAAGGCCTGAGTTCCGATTCTACTTCAATCCCCGTGTTAGCCCCCAACCATTCAAAGCTCACACTGCCCCTCCTGGGAGCCCACAGTGGAGCACTTAGTTGTTCTCCAGCCATTCAGCCTACTGGTCTTACCCAACCCTCAAGAAACCAGGACTGACTTCCTCGCTCTCTTGCAGAGCCCACCACAGTGCTGAGCACAAAGTGAGCCCTGGATTAACTGATTGAGCTGATATCTGAGCCAGGATGATTTTTTAGTCTTCTGGTTTTTCTGTAGATCACACAAACCCTGAACTGGCTAGTGAGGATGACATCGGAAACAGAGACCAACATTGTGGCTGTAGAGCGAATAAATGAGTACATCAATGTGGAAAATGAGGTAAGGAGGAATTTGAGAAACCCAGAGACCAGGCCCATGCAGCTCCTTTGAAAGTGCATCTCCTTGGACTGGCATTGTGGCTCAGCAGTAGAGTGCTCACTTAGCACTGGCGGGACCCGGGTTCAATTCTCAGCACCACATAAAAATAAATAAGTAAATAAAGGCATTGTGTTGTGTCCATCTACAAAAAAAAAAAAAAAAGATATATTCTCTCTCTCTTAAAAAAAGGAGACACCTATTCAAAAGATAATATTCTAAAATATAAAAATATTTTAAAAAAAGAAAGTGCATCTCCATTCACATGGGTTCATAATGTTTTAAAAAAATGTTTCCTTTGCTCCCACTTGACCTAATTACTTCAAACTTACAATACGAAGTGGTTTGGGGGAAGTCAGGTCTTGTAAGGCACCAAGTTAAATGGTGGCTTCTTTCTGGAGATCCATAGAGCAACCTTCTGGGACAGGATTTCTTTAATTGAACACGGTAGAAACCTTCTTGGGAGACCAAGTCCGGTTCAGTCAGGTAGCTGAGACATTGCTACCTATTTTGTGACTTGAGTCCCATGAGGACTGTTCAGCTGAGCTGCCACTGTGTAAAGCACTTCTCATCCTGTCCCCTTGCCAGGCACCCTGGGTGACTGATAAGAGGCCTCCAGCAGATTGGCCCAACAAAGGGGAGATTCGGTTTAGCAACTACCAAGTACGGTACCGGCCGGAGCTGAATCTGGTACTGAAAGGGATCACTTGTGACATCAAGAGCACTGAGAAGGTAAGTGGCACAAGGGAAGGCTGGATGTGAGGCCTTGTGATACAGGACAGTAGGACACAGAATGGAGAGCAGCTAGACTCCAGCCCTTCCTCATTTGGGTGGAGGGAGAGGTTCCTGGCCCTGGAGACACGTGGGGATACAGCACCACCACCACCAGAGGGCGTGATACCAGCCAGAGATTTTCTGCATCCCTCCAGCTGACCAGGACTCAGTTCCTGGAAATTCACAGCTGGTAGCAAGGATGTCAGGGAGGACACAAGGGAGTATCAGGCCTAGGGAAAGAATTGTTAGGAACATTAGCATTGAGAGTTGTCTCTAGAGAATGGCCTACTTCTTCTGCTGGTCTTCAAAGTTGGGCATCCTCCTCTGGTGCTCTTGTTCTCCAAGGATTTGGGGTCTAAAGTAGAAACAACAACAAAAAAAACCTGGGTAAGAATGCAGAGTTCCAAATCAGGGTCTGGCTCTCAGCTGGTTGGCAGGACCATCCTTCCCTTCTCCCCACTTCCAAGTAAAGCTTTTTTTTTTTTAAGAAGTTCTTAATTTCCAATAATAATTATAACATCAACAGCTGCTGAGTGTGTCCATTTCTACTCGTCATTGTAGTTTTCAGCAAGCAATAACCTATGATGTAGGATGGGAGAGCTGTTTTTTTTTTTTTTTCCCTGACATCTGGGCACATTTTTCTCCCAACAAAACAAAACAAAAAAAATAATTTAATATCTCAGAGATGAAGTAGCCAATCACTGCCACTTAACACCTGTGATTGAAGCTAAATAATTTTTTAGTCCAAGCTAAATAATCTTTTCTCCATGAATTGTATGTTGAACTAACATGCAACTATTTTCACAGGTTGGTGTGGTGGGCAGGACAGGAGCTGGGAAGTCATCCCTCACAAACTGCCTCTTTAGAATCTTAGAGTCTGCAGGTGGCCAGATAACCATTGACGGAATAGATATTGCTTCCATTGGGCTCCATGACCTTAGAGGAAAACTGACCATCATCCCCCAGGTGAGCTCTAGAACTTACTTGGGCACACACAGTGAGGCATCTTGTTCTCAGGAAGCATGTTGATACCTGTTCAATTAGCAGTATCATTCCTGCACTCTACTCAGAATACCCAAGCTAAAGTCTTCAATTTTTGTGTAATATGCATTTGTGACTGCTGGTATCTGACCAGTAGGTGGCAGCAACACAACAGAAGTCAAATAGAGCAGATGATTATTTAGCATTTCTATAGCCCATCAAGGTTTGCAAGACCTTGGCAATCAGCATTAGCAGTTTTGCCACTGAAGCTTGGCGCTATTAAGCTTTATACTCCCCATTTGATATGGTTAAAGGACAGCGGAGGGAATTTGCTGCAGATTTTTGCCAGCAAGCAAAACACTTAGTGTGTCAGCAAGAAAGACCCATTGGCTTGTTCTATGGACCCTACACATAAGTGTCTCCATGGAGGCCTCTCTTCTCCAGTGGTATGTGGCTCCTCCTTAGAACCTTCCCTCTGCTCACTCTAGCCACATTTCTCGGGAGGTAAATTTGATTTGTCTGGGGTTTGCTTAGTTTGATTCACTCCTTTCTCTGGCGCCCTCAAAGCATAATAAATGCTATGCAGGGGTTTTTACTATCTATTTCTGTACCTTTCCCTGATCCCTCTACCTCTAAATCACAAGTTTTCATTTGGGAGAGGGATATTCCTCTCATTGTAAATAGTGCTATAGTAAGTTTGGAAATTCATAACTGAATCTCAGAAAGAAACAAAATAGCAACAAACCAAGCATCTTTCTTCATCCTATGCTTAGCTGCCTGGTTAGCACCTGTTCCAGGCCTTCAAAGGACTTGCAGAAGCTTGAACATGCTGGGTGTGGTGGCATACTGTTGTAACCCCAGCTATTCAGGAGCTGGAGTCAGGAGTATTCCATGTTCAATGCCAGCCAGGGCAATTTAGTGAAACTCTGTCTGGAAAACAAAAATATTTAAAAAGATGGACTTGGGTTGTAGATCAAGTGGAAGAGCGCTTGCCTAGCATGCACTAGTACATGAGTTCAACCCATTGTACTGAAACAAAGCTCAACCATGCCGGGTGCAGTGGCACACGCCTGTAATCCCAGCAGCTTGAGAGGCTAAGGCAGGAGGATTGCAAGTTCAAAGTCAGCCTCAGCAATTTAGCAAACAATTCAGGGAGACCCTGTCTCTTGGAAAAAAAAAAAGGTGGGGGGTGCTAGGGATGTGGCTTCATGGTTAAATGCCTCTGAGTTCAATTCCCTGTACAAAAAAAAAAAAATTAAAGAAATAAAGAGAAAAACTCAACCATGAACCAACTTCCTGACTAAGGTAGGTATCCATCTCAGGTCAGATGGACATGCTTTCTCCCTGTCACAAAGAACAACTGGGTCCTTTGCTGATATTAACCGTAACTGCTCCCTCACCCCTTAACTTGCAGGATCCCATCTTGTTCTCTGGAAGTCTGAGGATGAATCTGGACCCTTTCAACAAATACTCAGATGAGGAGATTTGGAAGGCCCTGGAGTTGGCTCATCTCAAACCCTTTGTGGTTGGCCTGCCACTTGGGTTGTCCCATGAAGTGACAGAGGCTGGTGACAACCTGAGGTAATGTCTCATAACCTACCTCTTACACAGGCAGTGAGAGGAGAGGGGACCCTCCTCTTGTTCCCTGTGTTAGGTGTTATCAGATATTGTAGAGTTTTCACTGTATGGGTCTAATTTCTAACACATAAAATGAACCTGTTCTGAAGATCACATGATAACATAGATGTGAAAGTGCTTTAAACTTGTGAAAACCTGGGTTTTTAAATGTGCCTTCATGTGACAGTACACAGTGTGAGCTTACAGGTGCCACTATTGTGGAGAATCACAGAAAGCAGAGATTTTCAACTTAGCTGTATACAGCAAGCAGGATTAAAATGGTCCTAATACCTAGTCCCACCCTGGAGTCTGGTTTAATTAGTGTGAGGTGCAGATTGGATATAGGGAGACTTAAAGTGTCCTCACAGTCTGCTAAGGGCATCCCAGTTTGAGAACTGCTGATCTAAAGGGCACATGGATGATAGGGATGTAGTGTTTACAAAGTCCTAATGCAATATTAAAATACTTTCAATCCACACAAAACTCTCTGTGCTGTCCCAGTTCTTTTTCCTGTTTCCAAGTATTTTTGTATATGCTGCAATTTTACTTCTAGCCATCACTATATAGTCATCTGTCCATTAATATGTGAACCTGGCCTTTTCTCTGTAACAATCTGGTTTTTCCCTTTGCACACAGAATTCCAGCCTGATGCTACTGGACAGTTCTTGCCCCAGGTGCCTTGATAGTGGGAGGCAGGGGATGGGTCATTATTGGTTGAAGCTCAGGGAGGAAGGAAGAGCTCGAATAATGGGCTGGCTGCTCTGGATTCACCTGAGAGCTTGTTTTAAGTGTAAAATCTCAAACCCTGGACCTACTAATCCAAATCTGTACTTTAACAAGATTGCCAAGTGTTTTGTGTGCATGTTGCAGCTTATGAAGCAATTCCTAGAGCATTGCCTCTCAACTGAGCTGCAAGAATCACCCAGGGAACTTAACAAATCCAATGCCCCAGCTGATTTTACCCAGGGGACACTTGCAAGGCTTGGTAGTAAGCACCATTAATGTTGTTTTCCTTCAGGACTAGCAGGACTTCATCAGGTCTTTAGGTTGATGTAAGACTATTCAAACATCCAGTCAACAAATAGGCTATAAGCACCTACTATGTGCCAGGCACTAGAGATACAGAGGCAAGTGACGCACACATAATTCCTGACTTCCTAGCATGTACAGTATAATGGAGGAGACAGACCTGTGGGAATAAATGCCACTGCTAACAATATTGCAGAGGAGACATGCAGGACACTAATGTGAAAGCAACACTTATGTTTTATAAGAATAAAAATCACACCACACTTTTCTTTTTCATGCTAGGAGATAATCAAGTGGTATTACTAATACCTTGATTTCAGTCCTGGTTTGGGGAATTAAAACAAATATCTGTGGTGAATGCTGGATATATCAGTGTGGAGAGAGCTGCTGAAAGCCAAAGTGATACCTCGACACAGTCCAATTGACTCAGGCTGGAGTTTGGTACAAGCTCAGTAGCCAGTTTTTCAGTGTCTCTGATCTTACATTACAGACAAATACTGGAAGTTCATCTTGGGTGACTTCTCATCTCCTGCAGAAATTTTCTTACAGAAAATTACAGAACTTTAGTCTAGCCACCCTCTGTTTAATATGTTCCCTAATGGCCACAGCAGGAAAGAACAATTAGCAAATTCCTGAATATTTCCTTCACATCATTTCCCAAAGCTTCTTTATATAAGTAAGAGGTCCAGCCTTCATTACAGACTCTTAGCAAATTACAGTTATTTGCATTTTACAAGCATGTTCGAATTCCACATACATTGCACCTCACCCCAAGACATTGTGTTCATTAGACTGCTTTGTTTCTAATCAAGGCAGAAGGCCTTGAACAAATAATTAGCCTTGAGACTAGAATTACACATTAAAACAATGAATGGATTTGCTAAGGCCACAAAGAAATGCCACTGGGGCATTCTAGTGCAGGACCACCCTATATTAATGGTGTCAGATCAAATACTGCTGAAATAAACTTGGTAGCATTCCTGTTGTTTTGCAATGGTCATTGCTATCACTGTAGCCAAATGCAAAGCACTGTTTTGGGGCCAGTGTTTTCCAAACTTGTATAACATGAAAATTGCCTGGGGTACTTATTAAACTCATATGTACCTAGGCCTCTCCCGCATTCTGACTGGGTGGAGTGAAGGCCAAAAGCACGATTTTTTTTTTCTTAATTAAGTTCCTGTGGTACTTCTAATTGGGAAAATTTGAAAATTGTTGCTCACAACTATAATGGATGGGGAAATTTGGAATGGGAGTTTTGAAAAGTCTAATCTGGAACATGAAACTGTCCCTGTCTCAGGATTTTCCTTGGTGCTCAGGGGATAATTCATGGTTTCTTCTGTTGGTGACAGTGTGGGTCAGAGGCAGCTAGTGTGCCTGGGCAGGGCTCTGCTTCAGAAATCCAAGATTCTGATCCTGGATGAGGCTACAGCTGCGGTGGATCTAGAGACAGATCAGCTCATTCAGACAACCATCCGAAACGAGTTCTCCCAATGCACAGTCATCACCATTGCCCACCGGCTGCATACCATCATGGACAGTAACAAGTGAGTGAGGGGTAACCCTTGGTCAGTGGTGACCACGTCAGCCACGGAATACCTTAGAATAGAAGGGATGACCACCATCATTTTACTGATGAAACTGAGGCCTAGAGATTTCAAGAAATTTTGGCCAGAATTACACATCAAACTATGAAAGCTAACTGGGTCATGGGGACCATCTTGAAAGTAAAATAGGAAATTATAATTATTAACTGAATATGAGGAGGTGGCAGCCCAACCTATGAGTGGCACATGTTGACCATAGACCTTCCCTATCCTGGGCCTCAGCTGCTGCCCTGTAAAATGACTGGAAGTGTCTGTTTCTTCCTGCTCTGGCATCTTACCCTCGCTGGTCAATAGTCTTAGAAGCTAGAGAGGAAAGGCTTCCTTTTCTGACCCAGGGGAAGACTCTCTTTTAAAATCAGTCATCCTCAAACAATGTGTACTTTGGGAAAAAAAGAAAGACCTGATATAAAGGGACTCATGTGCACATATGCTTCTATGACTCAGTATTACATGTAGATGTTGATGCCATAGCTGTGGTTCATTCATTTCCACTGCTTTGGGGAGCCTCGTCAGGCTATACTACAACCTAGTCCTGGTTATTCTTATTAATGCCAAGATTTGAGATGCTACTTTCTTTTTCTTTTTTGGTACAGGGGATTGAACCCAGAGGTGCTCAACCACTGAGCCACATCCCCAGCCCTATTTTGTATTTTATTTAGAGACAGGGTCTCACTGAGTTGCTTAGCACCTCATTTTTGCTGAGGCTGGCTTTGAACTCACAATCCTCCTGCCTCAATCTCCCGAGCTGCTGGGATTACAGGTGTGTGCCACCATTCATCTTGAGATGGTACTTTCTAAGGCTTTTATTTATTTCCTCTTTGTTTCAGGATAATGGTCCTAGATGATGGGAAGATTGTGGAGTATGGCAGTCCAGAAGAACTGCTGGAAAACTACGGCCCCTTTTATTCTATGGCTAAAGAAGCTGGCATTGAGAATGTGAACAGCACAGCATTTTAGCAGCACGTTCCATGGTTAAAGAAGGACTGTAAGGAGAATTCCTTATTTACTTTGTGTGTGTGTGTGTGAAATATGTCATATGCAAAACTGTGTATAAAATATATTTTTTGTTGTCGTTACTGGGTCTCATTATGTTGCCCAGGTTGGCATGAACTCTTAGACTCAAGCAATCCCCCTGTCTCAGACTCCTGAGTAAAAATGTATATTTTAAAGAAGAATGATAAGTGAACACCTTTGTAACCACTACCCAGATTAAGAAAATGAATTACCAGGTACTTTAGAGACCCCTCAATTGCCCTGCCTTCGTCATAAGTCCTTGCTCCCATCCCTCCCAGTCAACCACTGGCCTGAACTTCATGATAATTATTCCTTGCCTTTCATTTTATCAAAATTGTATGTATCTTTAAACAATGTTTACCTTTTTATCTTATATAAATGGACTCATATTTCATGTATTCTCATATGACTTCTTTTTTTTTCAATAATATATTTGCAGTTTTTTCATGTTGATGCCAACAGGTTCATTCATTTGCACTGCTCTTTTGTAGCACAGCATTGTGTGAACACACCACATTTATTCATTTTAATATGAGTAAGCATTAGAGTTATTTCCAGTTTATTTTCTTTCTCTTACGAATAACACTGCTATGAACATTCTGGTCCACATCTGGATTACACGCATCAGAATTTCTCTAGGGTAAAATCTAGAAATGGAAGCTATGTACGTTTCCATGCACACATGAGGTATTGCCAAACTGGGAATGTCAATCTAAAACTTTTTTTGTCAATCTGACAAGTATGAATTGGTATTTCATCAAGGATTTAATTTGCATTTCCTTTGTTACTCTTGAGGTTGGATATGTTTTCACTTGTTTCTGGGGCATTGAATTTCTTCCTATATAGTTTTTTTAAATGCTGTGCCATAGGGCTGGGGTTGTGGCTCAGTGGTAGAGCGCTTGCCTCATGTGTGAGGCACTGGGTTTGATCCTCAGCTCCATATAAAAATAAATAGATAAAATAAATATTTAAAAAATATTTTTAAAATGCTGTGCCTGATAATTCCAATATCTGGATGATTTGCCATCTCTTGATTCTGTTAATGTTTTTTTTTTTTAACCAGAAATTTAACCCAGGGGTCCTTTACCACTGAGCCACATCCCCAGCTCTTTTTATTTTTTATTTTGGGACAGGGTCTCACTAAGTTACTGAAGCTGACTTTGAACTTGCCATCTTCCTTCCTCAGCTTCCCGAGCTGCTGGGATTATAGGCATGCACCACTGCGCCCAGCTTTAATTTTTAACTATAGTGTTTTATTCCCTTGTATGTCTTTTGAATTTTTACTGTAAGCTTCTCACTCCACTTAGAACTTGATATGGGGACAGTCTCTGAGGCCTGAATTGAAACTGAGTTCTTCCTAAGAGGTTTTATAAAAACCTTCTGCCAACCACCTAGAACATCACTCAAAACCTCTTTGGACTACATTCTCACTTAAGAGGCTTGATGCTGTGCAGTTAGTGCAACTTCAGAGCACAATCCTGTATAAAAGCCAGCTTGTGATTTGCAAATCTCAAGTGAGGGGCACAGTGACACTTTGCAGATAGGTGTGGGTGGTTGTGGACTCCTCTGTGTTTTGCATGGTGGGAATTGTCCCTTATTTACTTGTATGTTGCAGGCATAGTCCTTTCAAGACTCGAGTTTATCAGAGGGGACCCTGTTCTGGTCTCCTTCTTGGCAGACATTGGCTTTTTCTCTTACTTTGGCATTCTGTGCTACTAGCAAATTAAGAGTTCAATATCTCCAGGTTTGGAAAGACAGCTAGGCTTCACCCATCCTTTCCTTCCAGGGTGTTTTGTGTCATATTTTTTTTTTTTTGAGGTTCATTTTATTTTTTATTTTTTTTATTTTTTATTTTTTGTGGTGCTGGGGATTGAACCCAGGGCCTTGTGCATGCAAGGCAAGCACTCTACCAACTGAGCTATATCCCCAGCCCTTGAGGTTCATTTTATTCCTTACTTCCATTGCAGTGACGTAGTTACAAAGATTTTGATTTATCTAGCATTTCGCTGTTCCTTGGTGAGGTACTCAGAGTATTAAACTTCCTAAAGGAAGGGTACATAGCTAGAGTAACCACAGATGGTTATGGAATGCATCTGTTGTCCCCAATATATATATAAGAGTAGCAGCTGTCCTTTCCCCCTCTAAAGGGATGATAAGTTTGTATTATCCTCCTACACATAGCCACGTGAATTAGATTTTGAATCAGCACAGATGGTGATCAACATGAAAATATTGAAACGTTCAATATTTGAGGAGATTATTCAAGGATAATCCCTTCTCTAATTCTGCAAAGTAGATTTGGTGTATTATAAATATTCCACAATTATTACCTATTTTTCAAAGGCACCAATAAAATATGAAAAAAAGGTAGCATTTTAAATACCTGCTTACCTACATGAACAGTAGCTCTTCAGATGAGTATATTTTAATCTCAATTCCATCAATTGTAAAATACCCATTCTTCTATGAACCACTAAGAAAGAATACTGCCAGTTAAGCTCAGGCTTTCCTTGTTTATAAGATGCATCCTGTTTGTGGGAGGGAAAAGGCATTTTAACATTAATACAATATACTACCTCTAAAACTGTCAGAGCTGGGTTGTGTCCTTTATCCCAGTTAGAGGTCTTGGTTCCTTTGTTTCCTATTTTTTTTTTCAGTCTGTTGCTCTTTTAATCCAACAATATCATCATCATCATCTCCCTTATCTTTCTTTCTCAACTCTTCTTTCCTTTTCACTGCCAGGTAACTAACCATTGTTTCTGCCATCTATTCTCTCTGCTCATTAGATTTTCAAAAAATAAGTTTCTTTGATTTCCTCCAAGACTTTATTCTTCCAGACACATTTCCAATTTTAAAAAATGTTTCTAGATATAGAACAATTGGAGTGAAACAAGAGGACGGTTGAAAAACAGAAGAACAGTTCACACCTGCTGAGAGCTAACCACCAAAGAAACTGAGAAATGCAACAGTGGTAAAGTACCAGGATGAAAGCAGAGCTTAGAGGAGCCCTGATACCTTCTCAGTTATTGCCTAACAAAATGGCCCAGGCTGATCTTTGTATCCTGATCACCAGAGAACTTCAAAGATGAACAATTATCACTATTCAGCATTTACTAAATTTCTGGCATTGCCCAAAACTTTTTATAAAGAGCAATTTAATACAAATAAAATATATTTTTATTTAAATAAACATCCCATTACATTGTGGTCTAAGTTAATACTTCTCACAAGTTTTGTTTCAACTCATCAGTTTCAGGGACAACTTTAGATAACCACCTAGAACCATACCTCCCTCCAAAATGCTACCATATCTTCACTGATTTTTTTGGTCTCTTTCTGTGATCTTCCAGATTCATCTGGGTACTGGGAATTCTAGTGTTTTAGGCCTCTGTTTCTTATTAAATTATTGCCTCTCACTTTCTTTTTTTTTAATTTTTTATTGTTGGTTGTTCAAAACATTACATAGTTCTTGATATATCATATTTCACACTTTGATTCAAGTGGGTTATGAACTCCCATTTTTACCCCATATACAGATTGCAGAATCACATCAGTTACACATCCATTGATTTACATATTGCCATACTAGTGTCTGTTGTGTTCTGCTGCCTTTCCTATCCTCTACTATCCCCCCCTCCCCTCCCCTCCCCTCTTCTCTCTCTACCCCCTCTACTGTCATTCATTTCTCCCCCTTGTATTATTTTTCCCTTTCCCCTCACTTCCTCTTGTATGTACTTTTGTATAACCCTGAGGGTCTCCTTCCATTTCCATGCAATTTCCCTTCTCTCTCCCTTTCCCTCCCACCTCTCATCCCTGCTTAATGTTAATCTTCTTCTCATGCTCTTCGTCCCTACTCTGTTCTTAGTTACTCTCCTTATATCAAAGAAGACATTTGGCATTTGTTTTTTGGAAATGGATGGCATTAGAGATTATGCTAAGTGAAGCTAGCCTCTCATTTTCAAACCTAACCTTCCAGGCTCTGCCTTGTAATGCTGGGGCTGAGACTTGCAAATCCCATTTCTGCTTTGTCACCTTTCCTATTAGGTTCCAAAGACAGGAGGTGCTGCTGAGAGGCTGGATGCAACGTTGCCTGAGGCAGGGGCTTGTTTCTTCCTTGCTTGTTCTGTTTCCATCAGCATCCTTCCAGCAATGTTTCAGTCACAGCAGCTCATCCAAGCAACAACACTGATTTTAATTTTCAGTTTTTTTGTTTGGTACTGGGGATAGAACCCAGGGGTGCTTAACCACGGAGCCTCATCCCCAGCCCTTTTTTAATATATATTTTTTAGAAACAGGGTCTCACTGAGTTACTTAGGGCCTTGCTAAGTTGCTGAGGCTGACTTTTTTTTTTTTTTTTTGCAGGGGTTACTGGGGATTGAATTCAGGGGAACTCATCCACTGAGCCACATCCCCAGCCCTATTTTGTATTTTATTTAGAGACGGGGTCTCACTGAGTTGCTTAGCACCCCGCCGTTGCTGAGGCTGGATTTGAACTTGTGATCCTCCTGCTTCAGCCTCTGAGAGAGCTGCTGGGATTACAGGTGTGTGCCACCATGCTCAGATTAGTTTTCAGTGTTTCCAACATTCACAGAACCCATATCATTGTGTCCCTCAGAGACACCCATACCGGCTGAGCAGCACCCACCTTTTTCAGAAGGAATAGAGTCAAAGACAAATAATTCTACACTGAGAAATTGACACAAACAGGAAAGAATGTTCCAAAGATACCTATATTTTTTGTAGACTAATTTTGAAACATCATTTGAAGAAATTTATTCCATTTAGCAATAGGATGAGAATACATTTAATTATACATATGTACTGATCAGAAATTTATTTGAAAATTAACAAATATTATTCTATAAACATTTATATTTAAATCTCTAAGCTATTGCAGTTTGGATTTAGCTAGAAAAATCTATATTCTACTAGAAGCAGGATCTTAGTCTTCTATATAGATGAGACACTAAGCTGGTTTTTGAAAGGTTTCACATTGTTGGAAAATACCAGGAAAAGTTGGGGCCTGGTTCCCCAAATACCTGCCTAGTTGCCTAATTAAAATTTATTAATTCCAAATCTGCAAACCAAGTTCATTTTGGCTAATTTTTCATTTTCGTTCATCAAAATATCTAAATGTCCCGCATACTTGACTTCAACATTAACGGTAAACAGAACTCTTTTGTTTTAGCTGGGTCTAAGATAGGGGTATAGCTCAAGGGTCAAATTTGGCCTGCCACCTGTTCTTGTGAATAAATTTTTATTGGAAACAGCCATGCTCCTTGTGTCTCCATTACCTATGCCCTCTTCACGTTACAATGCAGAGTTGAATCACAACAGATGTGTACTATCTGTCCTTTATGGGAAAAGTTTGCTGACCCTTCTCTAAAGTCACCAGTGTAGTCTGGAATGGGACATATTTCAATTCTCAAACAGATTATTTGCCTCAAAAAACATTATGTGGCTCCATACCTATGATGGAATAATGGTCCTCAAGGAAGCCCAGAACCTGTGAATATGTTACCTCTAATCCTCAGAACCTGTGGATATGTTACCTCTAATTACAAAAAGGATTTTGCTGATGTGTTTAGGTTAAGGATATGGAGGTGAGTGAGTATTCTGGGTTATCCAGGCAGGTCCAATATAATCACCGGGTCTTTATAAAAAGAGGACCAGTAGCGCAGCAGTAGGATACTTGCCTACCAGGACCCTGAGTTAGAGAGACGTTTGAAGATGGAGCCTACAAGCCATGAAACTCAAACAGCCTCTAGAAGTCAGAGAAGGTAAAGAACAGATTCCCCATGGAATCTCTACAAAGAATTACCTTGATTTTAGCCCATTGAGGTTGATTTTTGTTTTGGTGGTGGGCAGTTACCAGGGATTGAACTCAGGGGCTCAACTACTGAGCCACATCCAGAGCCCTATTTTGTATTTTATTTAGAGACAGGGTCTCACTGAGTTGCTTAATGCCTCACTTTTGCTGAGGCTGGCTTTTTGAACTCACGATCCTCCTGTCTCAGCCTCCCGAGTCACTGGGATTACAGGCGTGCATCACTGTGCTGGCCTTGAGATTGAGTTTGAACTTCTGATCTCCAGAAGCATAATACATTTGTGTTTTAAGCCACTGAATTTGTGGCAATTTATAATAGGAACAAGAGGAAACTAATAATGGTAAACCCAAGTATCTCTGACAAAATTGCCAATGTTCCTCAACTGAAGTGAGTTTAATGACAATTCATTAATCTTCATTGAATTTTACTGTAGTTGAAATTTGAAGAGGGTCATTCTGCCTTTTAATCCCAGCTAAAAGTTGGTTTTTCTGGGTGTGGTAGTGCATGCCTGTAATCACAGTTACTCGAGAAGTTGAAGCAGAAAAATTGCAACTTCCAGGCCAGCCTGGGCAAATTAAGACTCTGTTTCAAAATTAAAAAGGAGCTAGGGATGGAGTTCAGGGATGGAGCACTTGGCTAGCATGTGCCATGTCTGGGTTCAATTCCCAGTACTGCCAAAAAAAAAAAAAAAAAAAAAAGGTTCAATGCTCATGCCTGACATCCTGCTCCAGAACATCTGGTCCCAGCATATGAGAACCACCCCAAGATGCTCTGAGACAATAGACAAGAGGAAAACAGTCTGCAATCTTGAGTCTATCAGGGGACTTAAGAAACACCATCCTGGGTAGCAGCAAGACAGAGTGGATTCCCGAAATTTGGATCAAAAGTAGGGTCATATAGATATATCTCTATATACCTAAAAATATATCTCAGGACAAAAGTGACTTCAAGGGCTGGGTGGAGCTCAGTGGTAGAGTGCCTGCCTAGGATATGTGAGGCCTTGGGTTTCATCCTCAGCCCCGCATTTTTTTGGGGAAAAAAAGTGCCTTCATCCAAAATGGTTACACCTGTTTTATCTCAAGCTAGTATGGAAGAGTTTGGTACATTCCTGGTGCCAGGGTTCAGTCTGAAATCTCCATATACTGCTATAGTGGTTTTGTTTATTTATAGCGTGTTGAGAAACTGTGCAGGGAAAGCCAATCAGGGTTACTCGTGGGCCATCATAGTGGTGATGTCTCGAGATGGCTGCCGTCACGTCAAGCTAACCCTCCAACACACACATGCTTCTATCAAATTGTAAAGATCTTATTCAGTTTGATCATATTTGGAGGAAGCCTCTTCTGGTTCTTAGCTAAAACACTGTAGTGAAAACTCTTCTCAAAGTGAGTCATTGATTTCAACAATGGCTGATTAAGAGCCTCTCACTAGCAGCCTCTCTGATCCTGAGTGGGGACTGCTGTGGGAAATTCTTGGTCTGACTCCTCATGGATGTCCTAGAATGACCTAAGCATGGCAGTGCACAGTCATTGTTTTGTGACATGGTCCTGCTAAGTCTGCAGACCTCCTCTCTGCTCCCCCGCCACCCTCTCCCTCCAGTTGTGTTGCAGGGTCCCCTAAGCCTGCCTGCTCCCATTTCTTAAATGAACCCATTGCTGCTACTTTAACCAGAGTGTTTACTCCCTCCCACCACCACGCCAAAAGTTACCTCTGGGAAAACACTCCATCTGCTTCTCTCCTTGAGAACCATACCTTAGATGGGGTTAATGCATGGATACCCTAAGTAGTTTGCAAAAGCTTTAGTTTGTTTTGGGGAAACTCCCCCCCCCCTTTTTTTAATTGTAGATGGACACAATGTCTTTATTTTTATGTGGTGCTGAGGATTGAACCTAGTGCCTCACACATTCGAGGAAGGAAAAGCCCCCTCTTGATAAATGCAAAACACTAATAGTGATCTTTACTAACAATTGCAGAAAACATCCAGAGGGCAGGGTGTAATGCAGACGGATTGCAGATCCCTTCTCTCTGGCACTGAATGTCTGGCCACACCCTGTAAACAAAAAACAGTAAGCACTTCAACATGTTGTGCTAATATGTGGGAGAGCTTAAAGTCCTGTAAAAGAGTCATGTAGTGACTAGAGAGAGGGTTTTGAATGAAGTTTTTAAATCTTGAGGTTTCTTGGTCCTCAGACATGAGGCTCTGCAAGGGAAATAGCTCAGAAGACAACTATGTTCCTCTAAGGTCTGTTTGTATTCCTGGCTCTGAAGTAGAACCTATGTAAACAGAATCCAAGCTTCACAATCAATAAAAACAGAGCTGGGGATGTAGCTCAGTTGGTAGAGTGCTTGCCTTCCATGCACAAGGCCCTGGGTTCAATCCCCAGCACCACAAAAACAAAACAAAAAACCATGACACAATATGCAACCCTTATGGAAACCAGGTACCTCTAGAGCTCACATTTATGGATAGAGTCCCACCACCAATTCCTGTTGTAGGACTCATGGATGGAAGTTTACCTGAAGAACTGTTTCCATTGAAATTGAAGACACTCCTGGGAGGAAGTAAGCTAGCAAACTGGATGTGGAGGCTGTTAGGGTCTGGATATGCAGTGCCCCCGCCCCCCCAAAGCTCTTAGTACAGAAATAGAGGTGAAATGATTAGATGATGAGAGTTGGAACCTGAGCAGCCCCTCCTGGTTTGAGTGGACTAACTTGTGTAACTTAGGCAGGTGGGGTGTGGCTGGAGGAGGTGGGTCACTGATGTACCCTGGAAGGTTCCTTCTCCCTGCAGCCCCTGTCTCTCCACTTCCTGATTTCTGGCCACCATGAGGTTAGAGCCCTCCCGCTCCATGCCCTCCCACCGTGATTTCTGCCTCAGCTGGCCATGGACTGACCCTCTGAAACTCTGAGCTCAAATATACTTTTCCTCCTGTAAGTTGTTCTGGTAGGTACTTTGGTAACAGTGAGGAAAGCTGACTAACCACAGAGGTGTTCGTTCTCCAATGGCATTTCCTTCGATTGTGTCTGAAACATCTGATGCCCTGTCCTCCTTTGGTTTTTGTAACTCCCACTTCTCCAACACTATAAATTTCCATTTTAAAAACTGCCTACACATGGCTGGGGATATAGCTCAGTTGGTAGAGTGCTTGCCTCACATGTATAAGGCCCTGGGTTCAATCCCCAGCGCCATAGGAAAAGAAAAAACAAAACCGCCTAGACAGTTGCTTCTCAGACTTCCACACCAATCAGTTGGGACTCTTGTTAAGCTAGATTTTTGATTTAGCAGGTAGGTCTGGGGCCTGCCTTTCCCACAAGGTCTCGGGTGATGGCAATGGCAATGCTGGTCTGGGGACTACATTTTGAGGAGCAAGGGCCCAGAAGACATCTAACTTGAAACACAACTCATCTTCTTTTTATAAACTTGCTCCCATCCCAATTACCACCTTTTTGCCAATGATTTCATTACTTTTTCAATTTCATATTCTTTATAGGGTGTTGCTTTTTTCCATTCTCAATCAGTTAAGAAAGATTTTTTTTTCCCTGCCTTTGGGCTTTTCTCCTTTGGAATTCTATTATTACCATTTAGCTCTTTTCTTATGCAGGCACTTTCTTTAAAAGAACTCACAGGAATTTGACCAGATTCATCAAGTCTATATCCTTAGATTTGAACCTCGAATCTCTCCAGTTTACCATGTGTCAGGCAATGTTCTAGCACTTTTTTTAATGGACAAAACAAATGTATAGGTGTCCAGCTACACCTAAAAATAATAAACATTTAAAAATTTTTCTACATGTTGATGAAAAGAATGTGCATTCTGTAGCTGTTGGGTGGAATAGCTGTACATGTCAGTTAAGTCCATTTGATCTTTACAATTATTTAACTCTGTTTCTTGACCTTTTTTGTCTGAATGATCTGTCCATTGATGAAAGGAGAATGTTGAAATCCCCCTCTATTGTACTGAAGCCTCTCTTTCCCGTTAGGTCTAATAGTTTGGTTTTATAAAATTGGTTATTCCAATATTAGGTTCATATAGATTTATAGTCATATCTTCTTGCTGAATCAATTCCTATATCATTTTAAAAAATATTTTTTAGTTGTAGTTGGACATGATATCTTTATTATTTATGTGGTCTGAGGATTGAACCCAGTGCCTCACACATGCAAGGCAGGTGCTATACCACTGAGCTACAGTCCCAGCCCTCCTACATCATTATATAGCGATTTATATAGTGATTTTCTTTGTCTCTTCTTACAGTTTTTGTCTTGATGGATGTAAGAATAGCTACTCCTACTAGCTTTTAAGTTCCCTTTGCTTGGAATGTATTTTTATCATTTCACTTTCAGATTGTGCATCTTTTCTTTTGAGGTGAGTTTCTTATAGGCAATGTGTTGTTTGGTTTCTTTTTTTTTTTTAATTCATTCAGTCAGTATATATCTTTTA